CATCACTCACCCTGCCCACATGCTGTGCTTTGACTGCAGTCTGGCTGCCTCATCAGGCTGTCTCCCTTCTGCTTCTGATTCCACAGAGCTGCACACACTGTGGCAGAATGAGGAGAGGGCTGCCATGTCCTCTGGCAAGATCTACGACATCTGGCACCGCCGACATGACTACTGGCTGTTGGCAGGAATTGTCACGTACCCTTTGACCTGGCACAGCAGGAGGCAGCGAGGCGAGAGGGGCCTCTCTGGGGCTGTGGGAGCTGGGCTGCTGCTGTAGTGATGAGCAGGCAGAGGGTTTAGGGCCACAGTGTGGCTCTGGGGTGGTGGGCAGGCTCTAGGCTGGCTGGTTCTGCCCTTGACACTTCCCCTACACCAGTCATGGCTATGCCCGCTGGCAGGACATCCAGAATGACCCACGCTACGTGATCCTGAACGAGCCCTTCAAGTCAGAGATACACAAGGGGAACTACCTCGAGATGAAGAACAAGTTCCTTGCCCGGCGGTTTAAGGCAAGTGGGAGGTCCAGGGCTGGTGAGTCCTTATTGGTGGGAGGACCAGAGCAGCACCCTGGAGCCAGAGGGGAGCTTGCCAGCATCATCTGTGAATGAAGTGGGGAGTGGACTTTGCAAGGGGCTCCGTGGATTACTGGTTTATAGGGGGGTGGGGTCTGGCCTTGAATCCTTCCCCTCCTGCACCTCGCAGTTGCTGGAGCAGGCCCTGGTGATCGAGGAGCAGCTGCGGAGGGCGGCGTACCTCAACATGACCCAAGACCCGAGTCACCCGGCCATGGCACTGAACGCACGGCTGGCAGAAGTGGAGTGCCTTGCTGAGAGCCACCAGCACCTCTCCAAAGAGTCCCTGGCTGGGAACAAGCCTGCCAACGCTGTCCTGCACAAGGGTGTGTGCCTGAGGGCTGGGGGAGTCTGCTCTGAGGCTAGGAAGGGTTCCCCACCCTCACCTGGGGAGCCAAGCCAGAGGTGTCCCCATCTTGTGTTCTCTCAGCCAGGAGCTGCCTGCTCCTCTCAGCTTGGTCTGGCAGGCATCCCCCCAAGTACCTCCTGCTTTCCTTGCAGTGCTGAACCAGCTCGAGGAGCTGCTGAGTGACATGAAAGCTGATGTGACACGCTTGCCCTCCATGCTGTCCCGCATCCCGCCCGTGGCTGCCCGGCTGCAGATGTCAGAGCGGAGCATCCTCAGCCGCCTGGCCACCCGTGGAGGGGATCCAGCTGCCCAGGTCTGTGGGGACGGGCACAGAGCCCTCACTGTGAGGGTCATGGTCAGGTCAGGGCTGCAGGCAGTATCTTTTTCCCTCCTTGCCTCCCCAGGGCTCCTTTGGCTCCGCCCAGATCTTCAACAACAGCTTTGGGCCAAATTTCCGTGGTCCTGGGCCAGGTGGAATTGTCAACTACAGCCAGATGCCTCTGGGACCCTATGTGACTGGTAGGTTGGTGTTTTGCTCTTGGGAAGTAAAATTCAGAGGGTGGATTTGGGCAGTCCAGGAGTGCTGCCAAAGGACAGTAGTGAGCAAGGTGTTTCCTCTGTCACCACAGATATTTAGCAGTTCCCACGATTTTCCCCTGCAGCTCCCACTCCTAGCCGAGGTAAGGCTGTGCTTCTTGCTCTCCGTGCTCTGTTTGCTGGGGAACATGAAGAGGTGGGGGGCTAAATGGAGGCTCCATTTTATCTGGCTGCAGCCTCTGACTCGAGCAGCTGCGGTGGAGGTGGGAGCAGATCCTTCCTGCAGCCCCTCCCAGGTGGGGTTGGCGTGTGGGGAGGATCCAGATTTGGCTGATGGGCAGCCCTCCCTCCCCTCTTCTTGCAACAGCCCTGGGGGACAGTCTCCTGTCCCTGGCCATGGTGGGGAAGTTGTGCCAGCGTTGCCTGTGTGGAAGACAAGCTGCTGCTGCTGCCGGCGCTGCTGCGCTGTCCCGCTCCCGCTTCAAGTGTGCTTTGCCTGCTGCGGCCCCCGTGGGAGCGGCGGGGCCGGGGGTTTGTGTCCGTGTATATTTTTTGCACTTTCTTATTGAAGACTTGAAGAGTTTGTCTGGGCAAGGTGGGCTGAGGGGAGGGAGGGAGGGCTGGAGTTGCGGTGTTTGTCCGGTTGTGCTGGCAGGTGTGGGGGTGAGTGGAGGCCAGTGGTGCCATGTCCCAGCCAGCTGTGCTCCCCAGCTTCCCCCTAAGGGCCGTCTCTTGGTCCTCGTGGTGTTTGAGCAAGCCCACGCCTGCTGCTGCCCTGCTGGAATCCCTGGCACTGCTGTGGTGTGCCAGGCTTGGGGCAGGCAGATGGAGGGGAGGTGGGTGGGACAGAGGGGACAGCTGGAACTGGGATGGGGATACCTTGAGCGTGGTGACACCGGCAGCCGTAAGCAACGCCCCTGCATCCGCTTTCGTGCTCTGTGTGTCCCGGTTTCTGTTCTGTGTTTTAATAAATCCTTTGGGAAGGACGCGGTGGAGTCTGGCAAGGGAAGGGATGGTGGGGCGGCCTCGGGGGGTGTCTTGGTACCCCTGTTGTCCTGCACACCTCTGCACACACACGTGTCCACAGAAACAGACACAGATGTGCACAACACACACGTACACAGACAGACATGCGGGCACATGGAGACACAGGGACATGCACACATGGACACAGACAGACGTGAGAATGTCCTGTGTATCTACACTGATACTGTTATCTCTGCATGAATGCACATTTATGTACGTATGTCTACATTACCCTCACACGTGTACCTCTTCATATACAGCATGTGTAGATCTATGTACACATGTGCAGATATACACAGAACTGTATGTTTTAGATCTATATGTGTGCATATAGCATACACAGCTATAAGTACTGATTTATTTAGGTACTGCTATGTGGGTGTGTATCTATACATACACACCTGTATATTATTCATGTCTATATAATGTATTTGTGGTTCTAAGACGTGTGTATTTGTGTACATATATACTTGTGAGTGTGTGTGTAGACACAGGTCTGGGTAGATAGGATAGATCTATATGTGGTATGGATGTATTGATCTATATTTACAGAGGTGTATATACACATACATGTAGGTATGCAAGAATACACGTGTTTTAAATTTGAATATATGCACATGCATGCACATACAGGTGTAGATGTATCTATATATCTACACATCTCTTTATCTCCATATCTGTATCTCTGTATGGCTATATAAGTGTACTGATCTCTGTGTATGTGTACACAGACACGTGTATTTGTAATTTTTATATATTTACACATAAGTGTAGATATAGGTAAAGGTGTATAGCTATCCTAGACAGAGATAGTATATGTGTGTGTATATACACAGAGACACATATGTTTTTGTTATTTCTCACATATATATGAATGTATATGTTTCTGTTTGTGCACAAACACTGATGTAGTTCTACAGACAGATGTACATGTATAGATGGATGTGGGAGGGGTGCACACTGACTCTCAACCATATACAGAGGGGAGCTCAGATGTCATGAATGGGGTCAGGAGAGACCTCCCTGTGTTTGTAACACACACACACATTTATAGTAGGGCTGTAGGTGCAGCCACGGCTACACAGCAGGTAAACACACACACATTGTGCACAGAGCTCACACACTGCACAGAGCTGAGGGTTTGCACATACATTTGCAGTTTTTATGTGTGCACAGATAGAGGAAACTGTGTATAAATGTATGTGGATATGGATACATATATATAGGTATTGGCAAAATGTTCTGCACAGAGTATTCAGAGTTATAAAGAGATAGATACATTAGCTATCGTTATATTGTTCTCTCTATAGAGATATTTATCATCTATCTCTCTGTACCTATCATACATATATCCATATATATATAGCTATAGCTAGACAAACAGTTATATATATATGTAGCTATAGCTATATCTAAATTACAAATATCTGTGTCCATGTGTATATATGGCATATGTTTATAGATGTATAGACATGAGTGTAAAGAGCTGGGTATGGATATAGAGACATCTACACATATATCTGGATATACACATCTATCTGCATATACACACATTTAAGTACATAACAGTTATTTTCATGTGTGCATGTATCCATACAAACATGGATGCTGCTATAGCAATATATTTACATGGATATGTACACACCTGTATATTACATATATGGATCAATACACAGAATCATGTGTGTCTGTATATACACAAGCACACACGTATCTACACGTGCGTGTATATACATTATATATGTAATTTTCAGAGGTGTCTGTACACATCTACATACAGGTATCTATATCTGTGAATAGGTAAATATGTAATAGGTAAATCAGTCTCTGATCTCTCAGACACTGATGTCAGGGACAGAGGTGGAGGTAGAGCTACATCTGTATCTACATCTGTCTGTGTGTGTGACTGTGTGTGTCTGTAGACACCCCTGTAACGGGTGGATGTGGGTGCATGCATAGAGGCTTTCAGTAGCTTTGTGCAGATACAGCTGAAGGCGCGTGTGGGCTGTGTTCACCTCCACAGCTGCTGTCTGCAAATCCACACGTCTGGATGTCCCCGCCTGTATGTCCTGTGTCTCCACGTGTGTCCATGCACACAGACACTCACACACTTGCCCACACACACACTCCCAGCCCCATCCCTGCCCCATGCTCGGCCGGAGCACCCCAGGCTCTTCCCGCAGAAGTCACCATCCCTGTCACTTGTCACCATCCAACCCACCCCATTCCCGGGAGCAGGTGCTCCCCGCACACGGTGCCGGAGCCGCGCTGGCGATGCCGGTGGCGCAGGGCAGAGGCGAGGGCCGGGCGCAGGCTGGGGAACAGCTTCGTGTTGTCAGCCTCGTGGGCGTACAGCACCGCGTGCGCCCCGCGCCCGCCGCCTCCGCCAACGCGGAGACAGGAGCCACGCATGCAACGGGTCCCGGGGCGGCTCCGGCTGCGGGCAGGGCGGCCGGGCAGCTCGGGGCTCGCCTCCCGCCGGCCGTCCCTGCGCCGCAGAGCCAGGCCGGGCGGCCGCGGTGCCATGTCCGGGGCAGCGCGGGCGGGAGCGCTGGCTCTCGGCGCTCGCGGTGCAAAACCACACTCTCCACTTTGCTCCAACAAAGCGTAAGCAAGCGAACGGGCGGCGAGGGCTGCGCGGCGTGCTCGGGCGCGCTTTAGGATCTGTAGTCCTTCTTGCTGTATGGTTTGTTGCCCAGGATGCTATCGATCTCGTGGACGATGGAAGACGACAGCTTTGGAAGGACCTGCGGGGGATGGAGGCAACGCTGGGAGTGGGGATTTTGACCCTGGTGTGCGCAGGAGGATGCTCACCGCCTCCACCCCACCACGTTCCTGCCACAAGCCCCAGCTTGCCGGCTTGGTGACCCAGTTAGGGAGAGCTCGAGTCAGGCCCGACCCTGCCCCCAGCCCAGCAAAGCCTCGTCGCTGCTTCTCGCCTTCATGACAAGCAAAACCTGTTATGGAGCTGGGTTTGCAACCCTCTTTCTCCGCACAGTGCAGCACAGCAATGAGTGCTATGGGCAAATGTTGCTCCTGCTGGGAGCACTGACCTGTATTGCTCCAATATTCTCCATCAGCTGGTCGGCATTGGAGGCCCCCAGTAACACAGAGCTGACACCCTCGTTGCGCAGGCACCAGGCTGGGATAGGAGGGAGAGCAGAGCTTGAGCAAGGCCCAGATACCCCCGGTGCCACCCCCAGCTGTCCCCCACTGTCCCCCATCCTCTTACCGATGGCGAGCTGGGGCAGGGTGCAGCCCAGGCGCTCAGCAATGGCTTGCAGCTCCTTCAGCTTTGCCTGCTGCCGCCGGCCCTCTTCACTCAGGATCTTGTCTTTCAGCCACTGGTATCCCTGGGGAACGGGAAGGGGTGTTGTGGTGGGATCAGGCTGCACCAGCACCTTGCACGAGTAGGGTATCCCCAGGCTCCCTGGGTTGTGGCTCCTGGAGTTCCTGTTCCCACAGGGACTTCACAAGGCCCCTGCTCCTGCTCCCCCAGCTCTGTTAATCCCCGTGTGCCCTCCCAGCCCTGGTGCAGCTCACCTTCAGCGAGGCACGGGAGTAGGGGGGGATGCCTCCATCATACTTTCCCGAGACAATGCCACAGGCCAGTGGGGACCAGGTCATGGCTCCAACGCCTGGGGACAGAGCAGAACAGGGGGATGACACCACTGCTCCCAGGGGCTGCGGCACCTGGCCTCAGCAGCACTGGGCTTGAGGAGCACTTTGGGGGGCTGGGGAGGAATCCCCACTGTCGTACCTATCTTGTGGAAGAGCTCAGGGAGCTGCACCTCCACCTTTTCTCGCTGGAACATGTGGTACTCGGCCTGCTCGCAGATCGGCGGAATCAGGTTGAACTGCCGTGCCACTGAGTACGCCTCCTGCAGAAGAGCCAGGACCCTCAGCGCCCTCCTGCTCCCCCCGAGCCCCCTGCCCAACCCCCCAGCCAAGTCCTGAGCGGCCGCCCCGAAAAATAATTAAGGCTTAAGTGCATCTGTACACGCTTGGCTCCCAACAGCTGCTGTCTGATTAAATCAACATCAGCGGCATCGCTGGGGCTGCTCTGCTGCGGCCGCCCTGGTCCCCTGGGCCCCTACCATGATCTCCATGGAGCTCCAGCGCGAGGTCCCCCAGTACATGGCCATCCCCTGGTTGATGACATGGGTCATGGCTCGCACTGTCTCTGCCGGGAGGGAAGGAGAGAGTGGCATATGGGGTTTAGCAGGGGCTGCACTGGCAGAAGGGGGCTCGCACCATGCTGATGGCTGGTGAGCATCCCACTGCCCAATGCTGCCGTGGGAGCTGGGTGGTGTCCAGGGGATGCTTTCAGAAGAGCAGGATGGGGACAGAGGGAGCAGCCACTCAGGATGTGCCAGAGACCACAGCCGACCTGACATGCTCACACGGTGCCAGGCTCTCCCTCCATGGAGAGCAGCCTGAGGCTTCTGCCACTAGCCCCATGCCCTGTGGGGTTACCAGCACTGGCACTGCTGCAGGGGGAGAGACTGATGCATTGCCCACACACAGAGACCCATGGAGGGAAGCCTGAACCCTGTGTGAGCTGCTCAGGGGTCTTGGGGGGAGCCAGCCCTGAGCCATGCAGGCTGGGGCCAAGCCAAGGCGTGCTCCTGCAGCCAAAGGCAGGCAGCGGGGAGGGCAAGGGGCATGAGGCTCACCCGGTCGGCACCAGGGCACACACCCCAGCATGCTCATAGCTGTCCCGGCAGGGAGGGCCCTGCTGCAGACCCCGGCATGTGCCAAGGCACATGTCCCACGGCAGGACTCTGGGGGGTGGGAGCCTCTCTGCTTTTTGTCCTTTAAACTGCAGTACAGTCTGAAGGGCCAGGGGGTGTCTGTGTTGTGCTGCCGCTGCCTCTGCATCTCATGGCGGGGTTTGCTTGAGAGGGGGGAACAAGGATGGGGATCACAGAGGAGTGGGGGCTCTGCCCCAGGAAACACCGCTGGGACAGGCAGCGGCTGGCGGGCAGAGTGCGGGCAGGGAGTACCTTCTACGATGAAAGTCCTGGACTTGGAGGAACTAAATGGGTCCCCTGGTGATAAAAGAGAGATTTAGAGAAAGTGGAGTCACCGCTGCTGGGACGGGGGCAGTGACCTGCCACCGCACCGCCAACCCACCCTGCCATGGCCCCAGAGGGTCCTGGCACCGGGCAGGGGGCGGCAGAACTGTGACTGTGGCACGGGCCAACCGTGGTGGAGGAGGAGCGGATTCTGCTCGGGAGGGAAAATGCCCTTGAAACACAAGCCTGGCGCAAACCAACCGCGACGGCGATGAAAGGCAGCGGGGAGGAGCACGGCACCGCGGCGTGCACTCACCTTCCATCGGCGTGTTGGGGTCGGGCCGGTTGGCAAACACCACGTCCACGTACTCCAGCTGCAGCCGCTCCAGCGACGCCTTCAGACCTGCAGCATGGATGGGGCTGTCAGGCATGCTGAGCCCCATGCTGCCAGCAGTGAGGCAGATGGTGAGGCACAGCCTGGCACCGGGGCCAGCAGCACCCGGCAAGCACCGTCATCCCTGCCCCTACCTTCTATGATGTGTTTTCGGGACAGGCCCCTCTCTGTCTCGGCCCTGCAAAAGGAAAGGTAGGTGAGAGCCTGGGGTGAGAGCCTGACGTGTGTCAGCTGCTCTGCTGGAGGGTGGGTGTTACCTACTTTCCTCCCCAGAAGATTTTGGTGGTGATGACCAGGCTGGACCGTCTGCAGGGAGAAAGGGAGAATCACTGGTGATGGCATCTGCAAAGCCCCCTGCACCCTCCCTGGGATGGCACACTTCTGCCAAAGGCTCCTCTACCAGCTTTCCCCAGCCCATCGGGACTACAGCGATCATTTTGCCAAATAGGGATGGCATCTGGCTTACCTCCACCCTTTCTTCTTGATGATGTTCCCCAGCACCACCTCAGCCCTAGAAGGGAAGGGGACATCAGCCATTTGCACCTGGCAGCTGCAGCCATGGGGAGTGGTGGCAGCCAGCAGGGACAGCCCCAGACCCTGGGAGAATAGGAGTCAAATGCAGTGGCTGTGGCAGTGGCTGTTTTCCCCTTGGCTGCCCCCAGTGCATGAGCTTGCTAATTTTAAGTGAATGCATGGGCACACATCAATGCCCTGGGCCAGCGTGCCCTGGGTACAGCTGTGCTGGGAGGGTGCACGGCTGCACCTGCATGATACAGGCCACCATGGGAAGCATGGGACTGACAGAAGCACAACTCCCCCTGTGAGCAAGCGCTCAGAGCCCTGTCCTGGAAGCTGCTTTGCAGCTGGCAAACCTGGGAGATTCCCAGTGCCACTGTGATTTGGTGGGAGTCAGGGTGTAGGGTGAGACCCCTGTGGCTCTGCCAAAGCAGGACACCTACTTGCCAGCAGCGTAGACTTCTGCCGTGTCGAAGAGATTAATGCCGTTGTCATAAGCTAAAGTCATCAGCTGCTCTGCCATCTGCGAGGAGAGAGCAGGGTTGGTGAAGGGGGTGGCTGAGAGCCGGCGCACGGGCATGTGCACAGAGCACTGGTGAGCTCTGGCGTACCACATGCACCCCGGCCACAGCCGCAGCTGTGCTGGCCCCATCCCCTCCCCAAGGAAAGGCCGGGGAAGGACGGGGTGAAGGGGTGCAGCCTTACCTCATCTGTTATCTGCCCTCCGAAAGTCACCCATGTTCCTGCAGGGGGGAAGAGAGAGAGGTGTGTGCATGGTGAATGTGGTGAGCAATGAGCGCCTCCACCTGAAGCCCTCAGCCACCCACCCTGGCTCCCTCAGCACTGCCCTGGCACGTGGTGGCCACAGCCGGCCCTGCCGCGTGCACTGTGGTGCTCCCAGCATGGCCCAGTCGCTTCCTATCGTGTCAGAAAAAGAGAAAATAATTTGACAATTTCTGGGCCGTGACTCAAAACAGCTGCAGGGCTGAGGAAAACCCTTTCCTTCCCTTTGCAAACATTGCCGGGGCAAGCGAGTGCTGCCCTGGCGGGGGAGTGCCGGCAGCTGCTGCAGAACTGAGGGGATGCTGAGGGGCTGTGGCAAACCCTGGCACTTACCCAGACCCAGGCAGGACACACGCAGCCCAGACTTCCCGAGGTTCCTGGAAGACAGAGACCATTAGGAAAGATGCCAGAAAGCCCCAAAACGCTGTCTCATGCATCCTGCATGCCACCAAACACATCGGGTGTGAGGACTGGGAGGTGTGGTGGTGGCCCGTGGTCCCCATCCCCACCTGGGATGGTTTTACACTGAGAGCCCCTTCTCAACTGATTAACAAGTCATCCCAGGCTGGGCATCCTGCAGCTTGGTAGTGGCACTGCCTGCACCTGCGCAGTGAGGCTGTGCCTGGCAGGGCTATTGGGAGAGCAGTGACCTCGTTAAAGCAGCTCCCTGCGATGAGACTGGGTTGTCCGGCTGCCCTGAGAGTGCTGCTGGCACTGAGGAATGAGACTGGAGGAAGAGGATCCGGCATGCTCGTGGTCAGGGCTGAAGCATCCCATACATGGCATGAGTTGTGCCTGTTCTCTGCATTGCACAGGGAAGCACAGGGCTTGCACCAGGCGAGGGTGCTCGGGAGTGGAGCAACGTCCTGGAGAAATGGAGCACCCCAGAAAATTTGACCGGCACAAGAAACTGGAGAACAGCTTTCGGGAAGGGGGCCAGGCTGGCAGACGCCTTCGCTGTGGTGATGGAGAGCCAGTTACTTGTTAAAAATGACAAAGGCTCAAGAAATGAGCGTTAAAATAAATAAAGTGTAGGTGAGCCGCGGCAGCTCGCCCGCGCGGGTGTCGCATAGCAACCGGAGGCACCGCCACCGCCGGCACCGCCGACACGGGCACCGGCAGCCGGGCAGGGAGTGGCTGTGGCCCGGCCATGGGCAACCGTGGGCTGCACCGAGCCAGGGCAGCATCCCTCGGTTCTGCCATGTTATTGCCCAGCATCTGGAGGCACTGGCGCTCCTCCTGTCCCGTGGTGTATTTAGAGCATTTTACGGTGGGAAGAGGTCACAGCCTTGGGCCAGTCGTGGCTCAAGCCCCCGTGATGGGGAGTTGCCATGTGGCGTAGAGAGCACCTGCCTCCTCCTGGACATTCCAATATTATTGCTGGGGTTCCCCTGGGCAGGTGGCTGTTGCCTCTCTCGGCTTCCCAGTCCAAAAGTGTGTTGATAGGCTGCCCAATAGAGATACTGGCAGACTTTGGGAAGGCCAAGCATTTCCTCACACTGTGCTATGGCTTTCCTATCCCATCCACTTGCTTGGAGCATCCCCCTGTGCCACTGTCCCTCCAGCAGCCACCAGTGGGGACTCCCGAGCTGATCACCCATTGCCTGGGAGAGGGTGTTACTGGTATGCTCTTCCTCTGGATCAGGACATGACTGTGGGGCAGGAGTACTGAGCACTGAGGATGCCACGGCGCATTGTCCCAGTACTGCTGTTACCACTGCACGGGTTTGGTGTTTGAGGGCTGGACAGAACTGGAACAGCCCCCTCCCCAGTGCCCAGGTGAGGGGATTCGGCCGGTTTGGACGACACTGGTGGACGACGGCCAGGCTCACCCCAGCGCCCTGCTGGCCTGACACACTTTGTTGCCTAATGCTGGCACATCTGGGCTGCAGTGGAGGCACGCGGCCGCTGGCAGCTGGACCATGGCGTGCAGGCTCATCTGGGGGGGGCTCTACCCTGTCCTGGGGTCCATGCTCATCCCGGGGGAGCCCCAGCCCCACACCCGGGTGCACTCAGCCTCAGTGGGGGAAGCCCTCTGTATTCTGCCCCAGTGTACTCTCACACCCAGGATATGGGGTGTGTGAGCCCTGTGGGGGCTGGCCAGGGGGGCCCCACATGCACACACCACTCAGTTTCCAGAACCACCATGGGCAGCCAGAGCCGCTTATGGCTCTGCACTCGCTTTGCAGGGCACTGAGTCTCCGGCAGCACCGAGAGGATGCCATAGCAGCCCGGATTAAATCTACCGTGACTCCCAGACCCCCCCGGCTCGGCAGTCTGCCCGGCTTGGCAGATACTGAGGATGCTACTAATCCTACCCTGAATATTAGGGTCCCTTCTTTTTCCCCCATCCTGAAGATTTTACGCACGGCTGGATCAAAGCTGCCCTGAGGGGGCAAGAGCAAACAGGGAGGAATCGCACGGAGGCGCACGGTCAGCACTTTTAGCGACGAGAAACAGAGAGCCGGACGCGAACCGGAGATTAGGGAGTGCGGCGTCCCTGGCCCCCAGTCCCCCCTCGCCACCCCGATAGCAGAGAGGAACAGGGAAAGCCCCAGGAGTGCCCGTTTCCTACCGGTATTTCATCCCCGGCTGCTTGACGCTGGAGTCGCTGGAGGAGGGGGCGTTCTGCACCGAGAGCTGCCCCAGGCTGCGGGCCACCATGGCCACCGCGCGGAACTTGCCGCGGGTGCCAAGGCTGGGGCTGCCGGCATTCTGTCGGTTCAGCCGATCCTCCGCGCTCCGGCTTTTGATGCTGTGCTCGGAGCACACAAAGGAGACCTGCATGCTGCTCCGGCGGGCAGCAGCTCCAGCTGCCTAAATTTAGCCGGCGCCCCGGGCGAGGCGGGGAGCTCCTCCCGCGCGCCGCCAACGTGACGGCGGGGGGCTGCGAGGCGGCGGGCGCGGAGCGCTCCCGTCAGCCCTCCTGCCCTCAATATTTGATGAGCTCAGGAAGCGAGCGAGCGGCACCCGGGCAGGTGGGGGCAGGAGGGGCAGAGCCGCTGCCGGTACCCTCCGGAGTGGCCGTGGCGGGGCGGGGACTCCCCTCCGCCCCGCTGGGCATCCCTCCGTGGGTACGGCTGCTGGCCCAGCCCGGGCTTGGGGCACAGCAAGGGATGAGGCTGCGGAGTGAAGAGGTCCTTCCTTGCCTCCCTCCGGCCACGCACGGCAGCAGATTCCCCTGCAGGGTCCGAAACCAAACCCTCCGGCAGCAATGCGTGTGCATCGCCAACCCCACGGCTGGGCGGCAGAGCAGGTGGCGGCGATGCTGATGGCCCAGTTTGCCGAAGTTGTCGCCCTCGGGGCCACAGCCTCAGCAGCACATTCCCCCTATTTTTCCCAGTGCAAGCGAAGTCGAGCGAGGTGAATTCCAGCCTAGCACCTCCTGCCGAAGCAGGGACACAAGTCAGCACACTACAGCACCGTCCTGCAGCCGGGGCCACGTGCAGGCTGCCAGCACCTGCTGTGCCCCTCAGGATGGAGCAAAATGCAGCGACGGGGTTTGCAGGAAATTATGAACATTTGCCTCAAACCTAATGAAAAATCTTGTAATCTCCTCCGCTTCCCTCTCTCGCAAAGCTCCTTAGCTGGTAATCCTGCCAGCACCAGCGCCAGTGCCGGCTCCAGTGCGGGCGGGGGGCCTGGCAGCAGTTATCAGCCCCCAGAGGATGAGATACTCCACAAATTTTGGTGGCAGCGGGGACATGCCCAGAGAAGGAGCACCTTTGGGGTGCCTGTGCCAGCTGCTTCCATTAATAAATAATGTCCCCATGAATATTAGATGGGCTCTTGCCACTGTGTAAATGTTACCGCGGTCATTGTGAGTGGAGGGGAACTTGACCCGCAGCGCAGCACGGCACGGCACAGTGCAGCACGGCAGGAGCCAGCAGAACTGCCAGCTCTGGGGGCTTTGCTGCAGTGGGGGACAAGGGGCACCCCTGCATTGTCACTGCAGAACAGCCACTGTCCTCAGCGCTGGTGCTCCTCAAAGCCTGACCTGGGTTACTGGGGGTGCTGGGCCCTGCACCCCATTGCCCCACCTGCAATGCCAGGGGAGAGTGGGAAGAGGTACACTGGGTAGAGCAGCTCCATCCCTCTGAGGGGCTGTGGCCACCTCTCCAGCTGCCCAGAGTGTCCTCCTGACAAGGACATTGGCTGAAAGCCTGATACACCTCACACCAGGACCCACATGCAAAATTAATGATGCACCCTCTCTGTGATGCACACCCATCAGTCAGGAAGAGACGCACACTCATCAGGCGGAGATGTACCCCCATCAGATGGAGATGTAACCCTCAGTCAGACAGAGATGTACCCACATCAGATGAAGATTTACACCTCTGAGGCAGAAACAGCCCTTGGGTGCCTGTTTGCTCCAGGTGCCTAGTCCTTAAAGCTCAGAGGGCGTTTGCATCTGCAAATGCCCAAACAGCAAACAGGAATGTCAAGTGAGAAGCTCAAAGATCACCAGTAGGAAAGTGCTAACGGCGCTGATCGGCTGCCGCCTCTCCGGCGCTCGCCGTGCCAAGGACATCGGCTCCTCCCAGCCTCGGCGCGGCACAGGGGAGCCGAGGTGAGCTCAGGTGAGAGCCGTTCTCCCGACGAGGTGTCACCAGCACCAAGCAGCGTCCCCTGTGTCATCCCCTCACCTCGGCCCTCGCCGCCCTCGTGGCGCTGCCTTACCTGTACTTCATGCCAGTGGCGCGGGCGGTGCTGTCGGCCAAGGAGAGCCCGTGCATCCGCAGGAACTCCTCCAGAGTCTTCGCCCGCGCCGCCGCCCGCACGTCCCGCAGCCGCCGCAGCTCCAGGCCGTCGGCCGCCCGGGGGGCTGGGGGCAGCCCCCACTCGGGGCTGGGCCGGCTGGCCACGCTGCGCAAGCTCTCACTGTAGGTCATGGAGAGCATCCTGCCGCCCGAGCGTGGGCTCTGCCGGCCAGCCACGCCGCCAAACACTCTACGGTGCTACGGAGAGAGCTGGGAAAGCACAACATGGGCTTCCTCGCCACTCAGGGCACAGCCCTACCTGCATTTCCAGGCCGGAGTGGTGGCACCCACCCTTGCCAGGATATGTGGGGACCCTAGCAAAGCCAGCCTCTTCAGCGGAGCAAAGCCTTGGCGTGGGAGCTGAAGCAGAACAGGAGAAGCAGTAGGAGAGGGATGCGGCACAGTCCGTGTCTGAGGCTGCAGTGGTGCCTGCCACAGCTGCCCCAAGCCACGACGCAGTAGTGTGGCCAGTGGCTCGGCTGTGCTGGCTCCCAGCTTGCACTGTCTGGGCTGCACTGGTTTACATCCCTGCGAGGGACGCAGTGGGTCCCAGGAGCTGGCTGAGGCATGGCGAGCAGTGGCATAAGTAGTGCTGGTGAGAATCTGGCACTGTGTGCCAGTGGGCAAGGAAAATTGGGATGGGAAAAGGATCCCCATGGGGCTCCCTGGAAAGGGTGGACAGCGGCAGAGGGTCTGTGGGCACTGGGTGCTCGCTGTGCCTGCGTCACGTTGCTGCAATGTGCGCCACCAGCCAACACCTTCCCCACCGCCGCGGCAGCGACCTCCCAGCCGGTGCGGCTGCCGAAAATAGCCTGCCGCAGGGTGGGCTCCTCGCACAGCCGAGCCCTTGCTGTCTCTATGGCTGGGACCTCACTGGCGGTGGCACTGGCATCGATTTCTGTGCCTCTCTCTGCAACTTCCCTTGTTTCCAGTGTCTGCATGGAGCAGGGACTGGGGCCAAAAGCTAGTGTTGGTGCCGGAGTGTCCACTGGGGATGCACTGTGACAGATCTACACCAGCATCAGGCTTCAGCCAAGCTCCCACTGGTGGTTTCTTCTTTCCCTGTGAAGCTCAAATTGACAGTTGCAGGAGCCAAAAGTGCAGTGCTCTCTGCCATTGAGGTGTGACCTCCAGAGGAAAGGAGAAAGAAATCCGGAGGATACAGAGTAGCAGTCGGCCAGGTATGACCAAAATCCTGGGGGTCTCCTTTGATATCTGGTGCTGCCAGACACCACTTCGTGCTCCTCCTGCTCTGTAGCAAGGCCTTAGGAAAGCCAGGAGACATGGAAAGGAAACTTCCCTCTGTTGTAGCAAAGCCAAACCGAATCCTCGTCATCAGCCTCTTCCTGCCACACCTCAAAGCTGGAGACTGAACCCGGCACCTCCAGCACTGGCCCTTCTCTGTGGCTGGTAGCTTTAATTAGGGCAGGGCAAGTGGCTCCTGCTGGGTACGGGCACCTGGTGGGATCTCCTTGCTCCCAGTGGGATCTCCTTGCCCTGGTAGGATCCCCTCATCTGACAGCAGCAAGGAGAAACCTGAGCTGGCTGCACTGCTGCTCTACAGCAGAAAAACGGCTGCAGCAAACAGAGCTGGGGGTTTGATCTGGGCTGCTCTGAGGAATGGGGTGGGAATCCACCGGCTGCCCTATCTTGACACTTCCCTGATTTTTGGAAGAATAGAACTGGATGGCCGAGAGAGCGCAGAGATGGTGGGTGCATTCACGGCCGTTTGATAGCAGAAATCCCAGTGCTCCTGGGATGAGTGGCAGCAGGGCTGCAGGATCTGCCAAAGATAAGCTGTGCTGTGCCCAAGCAGGAGAGGCTGTTTTGCAAGGAAGGAGCAGGGATGAGGGACAGAGTGCAGGCTCTGTGGGATAACAGCGCTGTTAGCAGCATCGGGGGCACAACAAGTGGGTGACAGGCAGGGCAGCTGCCCAGAGAGATGTGTGGCCAGCCCGGCCTGCCAAGCTGGGAAACAGGCAGCCACCAGCCTGCCTAAAGCCAGGAAGACCCCCAAACTCCGAAAGAAAGCCGCCCTAAGCCATCAAATCCCAAGTCACTCTGCACGGAAAATCTTCCCTGCTGCCCGCAGCGGCTGCCCCACGGCGGTGCCCATCCCCGGCCATCGCCCACCGTACCCAGCCCCGCTCGCCGCCCGCGCCGCCGGCCCAGACTCACCGCGCCGGGGAAGCTGCTCAGCAGCAGCGCAGCTCTGGCCGGCCGGGCTGCCCCGGGGCAGATATAAGAGCCGCGGTGGCCGCGTTGTTTTGCATTAGGGGAGTGTCGGAGCTTGGCGTCCAAAGCACTTGGCGGCTGCGCCAGGCCCCCAGCGCCCGGCTTCTCGCCGAGCTCCATTAGCCCTATTAGGGGATTTTCTTCCTTGCGAAGAGGAGTTAAATTATTCATGGCGCCTCACTAAAAGCCCGGGGATGTGCCGCTGCTTTATCAACGCTGGCACTGCCGCCCCTCGCCCTGCAGTGACAGGTCCCCCTGTCACCAGCACACAGGTTGGTGGGGACAGCTGGACACTGGGGCCATCAGGGAGACCATCAGAGACGGTGCCCTGTGGCAGACACAGCCCTCCTGTGATCCCTGCGGCAGTGGAGGCAGAGCTGAGCTGTGGCAGGACTGAAAGGCAGCCTCACCCAGAAGGGACCCCCAAAACGGAACTGGGTGATGAACACAGGTGGTTTCTGCCTGAAGGCAGCCTACAGACAAGCTCCTGCCTGTTGTGCTTGGGAGCCTTTACACCAGATGTGTCCAGTGGTTGAGGTCAGTTTGGCAGCCAAAACTTGCCCGTAGCGGGGCTCAGCAGTGCTGGTGGCAGCACTGGGATGGACACTGTCAGTGCCACTGAGCCATCCCATTGCTGGCTGGCCTCACCTCCTCCTGTCACGTGTGCGATGGCAAGGGGAGTCAACGGTTCCGTCGAGGGGAAGCCCCTGGTCCCCCACCCCATGCAGCCAGGCCAGACCCACTCCCACACCACTGGGCTGCTGTAGCCCTGGGAACACTGGAGCAGCTGCTGGCAGAGTATGTGGGGAAGTGCTGCCCTCACTTCAGACGGTAAAAGGGTGATGGGGGCGATTGTTGCCTCCTGTACCACTTAATGAGACTGCTCCTAATAGCAGGAGCCGTGGAGCAGCTGGCTGGTTTCCCAGAGCTGCTCTTGGGAAAAGCCAGGGGCTTCTCCAGGCACAGCATTGGCATGGGACACTCCTCCCAAGCTGAGCTGAGCTCCACACTCCACAGTGGCTGTCCTCCACAGCCATATGGCCACACTCTGCTGCTTGGACAGCCTGTGAGAATGGTCCCCCCTAAACCCAGCCACATCCCAGTGTCCCCACACCATGCTTCCGAACCCGAGAGCAGGTCATGAGGTGATGCCACATCTGTGATGCCCATCCCACAGAGAGGGATCCTGGCACATTGGGCAGGGCAGTGCTGTGCCAGCATTATCTGGTCATGGGCAGGGGCCATAGGCACTTGCTTGGGGGATTTTGGGAGGGGAAAGGGCCTGGTTACCTGTAGAACTGGAGCTGACGCTTGGGGCTCCCGTATCTCGCGCTTCCGACAGCAAAGGGGAGAGAGAAGAAAGATGCCACAAACCCCGTTAGAAAGGAGGAGCGAGAGTGAGTGCCAGAGTCAGTGGCTGTGGGAAGGGTAAGCGACACCCACCCATGTCTCAGCACAGTGGACACTGCAGCAGGCACTGGCACGACCCTGAAAGTGCCCCCTAAGCCATAACAGACACCAGTGCCCCAAAACGCTGCTGCTACTGTGCAGAGATTTTGTGCTGGAAGCTTTTGCACAAAGCATGCCGGGGCAGTTTAGCAGTATCAAGGCAGTTTCAGGCAGTGTGGTGGCTCTGGGTTGCCACAGGCTTGGGTTTGAAGCCCCATAGAGTTTCCCCAGCACTGCTCTGCACCCTTACCTGTAAATCATCCCTGGGGAGCCCGTCTGCCGCAGCGAGAGTCGCGCTGGGGAGTCAGTAGTGGATTCGGGATACATGGAGCCAGCCTGGGCTCCCCGGAGCCACTCGCCGCCTCACCCCTGCCACAGGGGAAGAGGAAAAGAGGAAGAAATGAGGTTTTTTGGGGCACGCGCATGACGGCGTTTCCTGTTGCAGGAGATCTCAAGCCGGATGGGTATGTGGCGTTGGCAGTGGTGTGGACACGGCAGCACTGGGGCTCACAGCCTGACCCACCGATCCCAAAACCATCCCGCCCCATCCCTGTTCCTCTGACTTTCCAGCTTGGCTGCTCTCTCCAAACTTCTGGGGGTCCCAAGCTCTCAGGAAATGGTGAGGAAACATGGGCCTGAAAAATGAAACCTTCTGAAAACCCTGGAGCTGTCCTCGAGGGTCCCTCTGAATGGGACAAGCTAAGGGGAGGAAAACAGTCTGGCTTTTCTTGCAGCCCACATATAACTGTGTGCACAGGGGAGAGGGAGCTCCAAGGGAAAGGAGGGCTCACCCCCAGGCACCCCTGACCCTCCTTGTTCCTGTCCCCATGCCAGGGGCATCCAACATGACTCCCTGAGAGCTGTGCTCCTGCTCCTGCAACACTGTCAGCAGTTTCCAGTATCACAGAAAACAATGACACTTCCCTACAGAACTGGGGCTGGGATTTAAATTTAACCCATCTTTCTTTAGGCCGGTGAGATGCCATCTTTACACTGCAGATCACAAGCTGCTCTGTTTCCCAGATGGGGACTGAGAGATCTTCGGGCTCCCTCCCGGCTGCCCTGGGCTCAGCAGGAGCATGGCCTTACACTGTGTGCTCATGTCCTGGCACACATCCCGCCTGCATCCTGGCACAGCATGCCTGCATCCTGCATCCCTCCCGCATTCTGGCACAGTATGCCTGCATCCTGCATCCCGGCACGGTGTGCCTGCATGTTGCATCCTGCCTGCATCCCAGCGGGGCATGCTTGCATCTTGCATCCACATCCTGCATCCCTCCTGCATCCCAGCATATTGTGTCAGCATCCTGCATCCCTCCCGCATCCTGCATCCCTCCGGCATCCCGGCCCGGCGTGCCTGTATCCCGGCGCAGCCCCTGCAGCCCACGCAGCCCAATGGCAGCGGCTGCGGCAGCCGAGCCCATCCCCGCGGAGCCGCCCACCCGCCCACCGCAGCTCCCGGCCGGGCTGCGGCCCCCGGCACGGATCCCCATCGCCCTCCTCCTGAGCGCTGCAGGAGTGCGACTCCTTTGGCCACAGCCGCACTGAAGCCGGAGCTCAGGCAGCCTCAATAAAGCCGGGTTTATTTTGGAGAAGTCAGGAGGGAGCTGATCTCTCCCGAACCCGCAGCACTGACTCGAGCCCGGAGCAGGATCCTGCTGAGCCCTACAACCAGGACCCGGCTGAGCCCCCCAAGCCCTTGTGACCCCCCGGCTTTCCCCGGGTGCTACGAGTGTTGGCCCCGCAGCTCCCGCGGCCCCGCCTGGCAGTGGGCAGCTGCCTGCAGCACCGCCGGGTCAGCAGCAGCCACCGGCCGGGCACTGTCCTGCCAGCTCATGCCAGCTCATCGTCACTTGGCTAGCGGCGGCAAAACAAAGCTGAGGAAAGCTGGCGGACGCCTGCAAGGGGGGAACAGCCGGACCCTCGTGTCCCAGCGCAGCCATGCAGCTCCTTGCTTCCACTGCCACAATCCCGGACATCTCTGTGGCTCAGGACTGGCTGATTCCATATCCCAGGGGGCTGTAGTGCCAGGAACTCAGATCTCAGATTTTCAGTAGAATCTGATGCCCCTTCCCTGTTGCCTCTCAGCAATGCTGTGGGGACCAAGTGGAGTGGCTAGCAAGTCTCTGGCAGTGCTAGAGGGACTTTGCTGGCAAGCACAGCGGGACCATGGGCACATAGTCAGGGCTCTGCACTCTGAGGAGCCAAAGTGTCCCAGCCTTTGGGGCCAATTTATCTCTCTGAGCCAAAGGCACTGCCAAAAGTCCAGTCCCCTCTGTGTCATCAGCTTGGTGCTTCCCTGAGACTGCTCCTGCACCTCCAGCTTCCTCATGGCACAACTCAGCTGTGAGTCTGCAACTGCAGGAGTTTCAGCAGTGGCCCAAGAGGGAAGAAAAGTGTTTTCTTCTGCAGGATGTACCCAGGAGCCAGGTGAAGGACTTGTGCTCCCACCAAGGTCCATTCCTGTCCCTGGCAGCACAGTGGGGTACAGGAGTGTGGGTGCTGCAACATGAATGGTTTATGGCTGGGAAGCCCCCGGGAGCTGGGCCATCATGGAGGGGACTACATACTGCAGCCTGCCAGACATACTGCCATCAGAGTAGGAGTGGGTGAAACTGGACATGGAATTAATGTGAATGTAGGGATGGAACTGCTGCTTCTGGTGAGTCTGATCCTCCAAGGGTGAGGGCCTGGGGCAGAGAGAGCTGGGGTCCCTTACCCTGGGCAGCCCAGCATCTTGCCCAAGTCAGACGAAGGATGCAGGTAATGTTGCAAGGAGCATCTTCTTTCCCACACCAGGTGCCTGTCCTCATACTTCCCTCCCTTTCTCACTGTGTTTGCAGCAAATGCCCCCCTCCACGCCACGGGGAAGGTGACTTTAGCTCAATGACTCACGCTGCCCTGCTCTGTCGCCTCGGCACCTCCTGCCGTCACCTCTGCGCTCATGCCCCGTGCTGGTCCCGTGCCCCCCCTCCCCCGGCTGCACCGGCGCCGCAGGGATCCGCAGAGCAGCAGCCCTGCCCCTTCCTTTGACCCGGGAGCCTCTGTTGCGGCGCAGCATCTCCTAGCCCACCGGGCCCCTCCGACCGCCCGGGTGGGCTCCCGCGCCTTCCCAAGCCCATCTTCACGACAATGAGGCAGGCGGGCACTGGGGACTCAGCTGCGACACGTGAGGTCGCCCGTGACCGCCGAAGCGCCCGCACCGGCGCTGCTCAGCTGCCCGAGTCAATGACACAGCCCAAAAGCACACGCTTTCGGCGCGTCGGCCGGGGTTATTCCGGCTCTACCGTCACGTACACCAGAGCCAAAGTACCGGGGTCTATCGGGCTGCCCGCGGGTCTCTGCTGTGTGACACTGCCAGCTCCCTGCTACGCCGCGGCTGCCGGCCAGGCACGGCTGAGCCACGGCCACGGCCCCCCGGCACCCGGCATCGCACCTACCTGTCTCCGGTGCTCGGATGGAGGGCGATGCGCGGTCGGGAAGCACAAGGCAATGAATCAAACCCGGCTGCCGGCGGGCTGCGGGCTCCGCGGGTCTCGGGAAGCAGCGCCGGTGCCGGCGCAGAGCAGCTGCTACAGCCGGCGGCAAACGCAGGATGACGGTTCCTACCCCATTCCCGCTCTGTCCCCGGGAAAAGGCGTCTGGCAGAGGGGGAAGCCGAGCCCCCCGCGCCCCGGGATGCGACAGCACCCAAGGATGCTGCAGAGCCGTTCCTGCCGCTCTCACATCCTGACTCGGCAAGTTTGGCTCCGCCGGTGGCTGCAGCCGGCTCCCGATCCCGCCGGTGCCTTAACCGTGTCGGCGCCGCAGCCCGGCACCGGCAGCGCGTGGGCGAGCGAGCGGCTGCCACCAGCCGCCCCTGCGCAGCTCAGGCGGGGGAAGGCTCGTCCGGGGCCACGGGCAGTCTGGGCAGGAGCTGCATCATCGCTGCCTTAAATCGCGCCGGGTGTGTTTCTCTTCAAATAATCAAATACAGCGTCGGCAGTGATGCTGCGGGGCTGCCTCCAGCACCAGGGTCACCCGGCTGCCGCGTTCTGCCACTGGACACCCATCCTCCTCTCGCCCATCACGCCTTCTCACTGCCCTTGGCTTTTTGGCTATCTTGAGCAACAAAATCACCCCAGAGCATGCCACCTCAGTAACTGGAGCAGGCTGGTCCCTGTGGCAGCGCGACTCAGTGATCCCGCAGCAATAACAACACCAATGCAGCTGGATCTAACAGGAAAACTAGAGGCCAAGCCAGCAAAAAGGGGTCAGAGCTTGGGAAAGGCTGCTCACGCAGCACTGCTCTGGCAGCTTTAAATTAGGAAAACCTGGTTCCTTTCCCTCAGTCGAATCCTGTTCAGCTTCATGGCAGCATCTTGGCACTTCCTTTGCCATTTCAGCACAGTCCTGGCAGTGATGGGGCCAATAAGCACACTGCCTGCTCCAAACCATGCTGACACTGGCAAGGATCACTCAGCACTGCCAGGGTGGGTGATCCCAGCAGACTGCCTACTTTCCATGCCACAGCAGCCCCAGGAACAGCCAGTAACAGGCAGAGAAGGTCATAAACCCCATCCCCTTTGGGGATGCTCCCAGCAGCAGCCCATCAGTGGCTTTGCTACCCCCACAGATGGTGGGAGCCATGTGCCAAGTTGATCTGCTCCCGCTCCATCATGCATCTGACCCACAGACCCGCAGGCCATGAGCGGGAGGTGACAGCTGGCCCTGCCACCCTCCTAATCAAAACAATAACAGTAATAACTAATAAAACCAGCAGCTCTCTTAAATCTGCCGTTGGCAGCTCCATGTAGAGGCGTTTTCTGCTCACCAGCTGGAAAATCACTGCATATATGCAACAGGCCTGTACAGGGGATGTGATAGAGACTGGATACATCTCGCCCAGCTTGCTCTGGCACTCACCCACGGTGCTGCGCCGCGGCTCCCAGCAAGACTTGGGGAAGAAACCTGTGGTTTTGGGAAGCAGGCTGGGTACCCTACCCACACCTGCCAGCAGCACAAACTATGTCTCACCTGTGGTGGCTGCATTAGCAGCCCCATGCCGGCCACAGGCTGAACAGGCGGGGGCTTATGGGGATCACGAGGAAAACAAACCCAAAAAAATGGAGGCTGGCAAGACAGAGGCTCGCGAGCTTCGGGCCTCGCAGAAGAAACGGTGAGGCAGCGGCAGCAGCATCTGGGCTGCGAGGGGACCAGAGACCTGCCATAGGGCTCGGGGCTCCTTCCATCCGCAGCCCTCCGGGCACCGCAGCAAAGCGAGACATGAAACGGACTAAGAAACGGCAGCAAACTGAAGGAACCGCGGCGTTTGACTCACTGTGCGCAAATCGGCTCGGGGGAAAATCCAATATTCCCACCCCCGTATCACTGGGGCTTTGCCGGCGGTTCACACCGTGTCACCGGGGCTCCTGCCCCGCCACTCCCGGTGTGCGGTGACAGGCCGCAGGCCACCGGAGCATCACGAACAGTGTTTAACCTCGCCTTGCTGTGGGAACGAAGGGACAGCCAACCTTCCCCCGTCCCCGCACAGCCCAGGGTCCCACTGGGCCGAGAGCAGACGGCGGGGCGAGGGCCCCTCTCTCGGCACCAGGGAGCGTCGGGAGGGGCGTGCGGTGGAGTGGCCTCGCCCGTAGCCCTACCCGCGGCCGTGCCCGGTCCCACCGCCCTCGCCATCGCCCGGCGGCGGCCGCAGCCCCATCCCCGGGCCCGCTCCCCCGGCGCCTCCGCACCTGCCCCGCGTCCGCCGCTCCCGCCGCTCCGCCGCCCGCCCTCGTGGGGGGCGGCCCCGCCCCGCCGCGCCTGGCCCCGCCCCTCCCACCGCCCATTGGCCACGCCGCCCGCCTCTCGCGCCGCATGCAAATGACGAGAGCACCGCGCCGTCCCCATTGGCGGCAGAGCCGGCCGGGTCCAGCGGGAGGCCCCGCCCCGCGCGGTGCGGCACCATCGCCCTAGTAACCCGATGCTGAGCGGGGCGCAACCACTCGCGCTAAAGGGGGCGACCGCCGCTGCCGCCGCCGCTTCCGTCCTGTCGCCGCGTCCCGCGCGGTGCAGGATCGCTCCAGAATCGTCTCGACGCGGACAGTCACTGCTTTCCGCCGGCGATGGGGCGCGGGAGGTGGGCGGCGGGACGGCGAGCGGCGGCAGCGCGTCCGTTCCCCCCTCGGGCCGGCGCGCGGTTGGTTGGGTCCGAGAAGATGGCGTCGGGGCGCGGTGAGTGAGCGGGGGGGTGTGGGTGCTGAGGGACGGGGCCGGTTCCAGCCCGGCTCCCCCGCACCGGGATCCCGTGGGTGCGTGGGCGGGCGACTACGGGCCGGCCCTGCCCTGGCTGCACCCGTGTGCATCCCCAGGCGGGTGCGGGCCGGGCCGTCCTCACGCACGTGTGTTTGTTGCGCGGGGCTGTGTGTGCTGATTGTACGGAGTCCGTGTGGCTGTGTTCCCGCAGGGTGCGTGTCCCCTGGTGTACCAGCCCCGCGCCCGCCGTAACTGCCGCCGGGAGGCAGCGGCGACCCCTGGGAGGTGATGGGCGAGTGGGACCGGGTGTTCCGGCAGCACCGGCCGCTGCCGCCGCATCCGCAGCGGGGCCGGGCCCGGCCCCCGCCCCGCTCCACCGCCTTCCGCTGCGTCCTCAAGTACCTGCACGGCGCTGCCCTCTCCCAGGTAGGGGAGCGAGGGGACCCCGGCAACATCTTGCTGCGCCCGTTGTTTATGCTGAGTCTCACTATTCATAGAATCATGAAATAATTTGGGTTGGAAAAGACCTTAGAGATCATCTCCTTCCACCCTCCTGCCATGGGCAGGGCTAACTTCCACTAGACCAGGTTGCCCTTTCCAACATGCTGGCTTTGAACGCTTCCAGCTGCAGCTGCTCTGGATGACCTGTGCCAGTGCCTCACCACCCTAACTAGGAAGAATTTCTCCCTAAGATCAAACTTAAATTGCTCCTCTTTCAGTTTAGCCCGCCTCTTATTCTCTCACTTTCTGTGTACGTCTTTCTCTGTCTTTTTTCTAAGCCCTTTTCAGCATTCCTGTCCATGTGTGTGGGCCTGAGCTCCCAGTGGTGGCTTTTCAAACAAGGTGGTTTTGGGGGCAACTAACTGGAAATCTCCCAGAAGCACAAAATCGTTTCAGTCCCATGCCTTATTACCTGTAAATCTGAGTTAGCATTTAATTAATTTTTTATTAAGTTTTTTTTTGTTTTTTTTAGTAAGTATATTTAAATCAAAATTTCTGCATAGAACGTTAACATCAACTGCCTCTTTATTCTGTGCTTAATGCTCAATTTTTGCACTTTTCCTTTGCTCCATCACCCTCTGGCTTGGAGGCAGGTTCTGCAGCAATGCACGAAACTGTCTGTGGCCATGTGCTTTATTTGGGCATCCCTTAGAAAACGGGAATTATATCTCTTACCAAAGTGTGTTCTGGGCTTTGGGGATGCAGAGCTGGCCTGTCCCCGAGCATCCCCAAAGCTGGTGCATTGTGCCTTGCAGGGAACCAAGTACCAGCTGCGCCTCTCCCTTTTCGATGCCACCTACCACCACTTCTTTGGGAAGACGTGGAGGAGCAGCTGGCGAGCTGCCAGCTCTGCCCCACCGCGCTCGGCCAGGGCGACCTTCAACGAGGTGGGGGCTGCCAAGGGTCTGGGGAAACACAGAACCAAATCCTTTTCCATCCCAGCGCTTCCTGACCTTTAGCCTAGGGTGCATCCCAGACACTGCCTATTTATTAAGGTTTATGTATGGTTTATTGGGGAAACTGGGGTGCTGGGTTTCCTCTGAGGCCGGTGCCACCGTGGGAGCAGCGATGTGCCACCGTGTGTGCCACCTGCTGTGTTCAGAGCTGGCGACAGAGAGCAGTGTTTCCCCACAAGTGGGAAGGAAGGGAAGGAGCAGCTGCCCACCCTCCTGCACAGCGCTTCTCTCTCTTTATCTGGGAACTAAACTCTCCCAAAGCCATGCTTCCATCTGCCGCTGATACCAGCAAATGTCCCTGAATGGGGAGATCCTGCTGCCCCGTAGCATGACCCATGTTTTTCAATTTATAGCTCCTGTTTCCAGGAGCTCCTGAGTGCTGGAGGTGAAGTGCAGCACAGCTCAGCCCCGTGTTCTTCCTTCCTTTACATCACAGTGACATTGAGTGGCGTTGACATGTGCATTTCTCTCCCAAGTGTTTCAGTACTGTCCCACTCCGGCTTGCTTTGAAGAGGGATGGATTAAAACTAGGGCAGAGAGTGCTGCAGAGAGAGCTGAATGCTGGGAGGAGCTGTCTTTCCAAATACATTCCCAGCATCCGCTGGCTTCCTGGGTGTTTGCAATGTGGTTGGAAGCAGTTGGCAGGAGTTTTGGGGTGTTGGGGGACTGTACTGCAGCCTCTCTGTGGTGGCTGAACTGTGTTGCCCGTCCCTGCAGCTGCAGGGCTCCGTGTCTGACAGAGAAGGGGTGATCTGAATGCAGGATGAGATCTTCCAACTGTGGGAAAGTCAGCAGCTCATTGTTAGGAACAGTTCAGGTGGAGCTGGAATTGATTTGTGACAGGTGAGGGAAGGAGGAAAGTCACTGCTCCTCTGCCTGTGTGTGCTGCATGCATGCTTGCCAGCCTCACCAGAGCAGGAAGGTGTGAGGACAGGGATCAGAGTCTGCTTGTTTGGTGAGTTTTGTCCTCAGGGTCTAGGGGAGAGGAATGCAGTGACAGAAACCTCTGTGTGCATTCAGGAGAGGCCCTTGAGCTCAGTGGCACCCTGAGCTCGACAGGCTCCCTTGTCAGGGCTTCCTGTGCCTTTGCAGGGTGAACCTTGCTCTGCAGGCTCATTAATCCAGCACCTTGCAATAAAGGCTAATGGAATAACGATTTATGTCTCAGGGTTGATGTGGAAATGTCTCTATCTGTTATTCCTTCCTGACAGCCCATATTGCAGAGAACAGTTTCCCTGAAACACCGTGGTAATGAGTTTTTAATAGGAAGATTAACCTAGCTTTAAATTCTGTCCTGGGGAGGTGACCTGTGTCCTGTCCCCTCCTGCTCTTAGGTCCAGGCTATTCCCATGTCCCTCCCCAGGAAGGTTTCTGGCTCCTTTTTCCTGCTCTAATGCTGTAGCTCTGGGATGCATTGAAGCCCCACTCATTCAGGGTCTGCAGCCTGGGAGTTACTCTGGAAAATAGGTGTTGACACAAAAAAAAAAGTTAAAAAAAAAAAAAAAGATGTTTGAGATTTAGTAGCAGTAATTTGCCATTAAATTTTGTAGCCGGAAGTAGTTTGCCATTAGTTTTTGTCTGGAAGTTTTAATGGATGTTCTGTTTGTGCCACTGAGTGTCCCAGCACAACAGGCATTGCTCTGCCTGCAGCTGCCACTGCCAGCTCTGAAATAGCCCATCTCTCTCCTTTCCTGTTCCAGGTCGTTTATTTCCACACCTCCTTGAACCACCCTGGCATTGCTGCTGTCGTGGAAGTGGTAATGACAGCTGGGAAAGGGGATGGGGGCTCTCAGCATCTTTCCTGTGGCTTTGGAACCATCCCGCTCTTTCATGGTGGATCAGAGGTGACAAACCCAGCCACTGAGGACAGAACGTAGGTTCCCCTGCTGCTGTGTGACAGGTCATAGGAATTGAGGTGGCAACGTGCATGGCTGATTTTGGGGGTGGAGGGAAAGGTGGACCTGGGGCTGCAGAAACAGAGCCAGCATTTAGAATCCTGGAATTCTTCACTCTGGGGAAGCAGTGATGGGTTTGGAAGGGATGCCTATCCCTTCCCTAGAGGACAGGGTTTTTCCAGCATGGGCTGGGTTGGGTTTTTATGCTGGGCAGAGGCTTTGTGGAAGACGGAGATGTGTTTCAGGGTGGATTTACTGACTGACTGCTGCACATATGCTCTTTGCTTTCAGGCTGAAGCTGTACCATGGAACGCCACGTGCCCTACTGCACCCACGCTTCCAGGACCCTAAGGAAAGTAAGCAGCAGCCAGACATGGTCCCTTCTTGGTGGCTTCTCTTACCCAAATGTATGTTGTATGTGTCTTGATGTGAGACATGGTCCGTGCCCTGGTACTGCTCAGTGGATGTGCCTTACTGCCAGCTGGGAATGGCCTGGCTGGGCAAACGCAGGTTTTCCTTTGCTCATAGCGTGTGTATTCACAGCTAATGATTCATTCAACACTGGGGCTGTGAGGCTGTCTCCCCAGTTTTGGTCATTTTGGGATGTTTTCTTCAGAAAACAAATACATGACAGTGATGGAGAAGAGCCACCTGCAGTATTCCCTGAAGTTCCACCAGCCCCTGGAGGCGATATTTCACCTCCTTCCTGAAAACCTGCTGATATCTGGGCTGCAGACTGTTCCTGGTTTGCTGCCGGCACGTGGAGATGCAGGTAAGGGCTCCTTCTCTTTCCCTCTGTCTGTACTGCTCCTGCTTTAAGGCAGTGGGTCCCTGGGAGGCTGTAGGAAGGGCAGTGGGATGGGATTTGTGGGAGCACAGTGGTTTCTCTGCAGTGTCACCCCTTGTCAAGAGCATCTCCCCTGCGTGAGGCCACAGCCTTCACATTCAGAGCTCAGATCAGATTCAGTCTGGAATCTGTCAAAATGGCTCAGTCAGTTCCCTGTCCGTTAATTGCTTTGCTCCTGGGAAGCTGCTAAGGATAAGTGATGATTGGTTTAATTACAGTCATTCAGCAGAATCTTAGAAACAGCTTTTGCAGCTTGTTTAAACTCCTTAGAGGCGGGTTCAGCATCGCTGGGGCCTGGCAGGTTTGGGGGGATGAGCTCTTGCCCGCTTGGCTTTTGTTAATCTCTTCCAATGGCACATTGCCCTTCGAGCTTCTGCAATTAAAATACGTGTGCTGAAGATTCAGAGGGTAAAAAATTCCTCAGAGTTCTGCAGCTGAGTTATTCTTCAGCTTCCTGCCTGAAAAACCTACTGCTGATGGCTTTGGGGTAGTAACTGTTGGTGCTGAAGCTCAGCAAGGTCTTGAAAGCAGCTGAGTCCCTGCAGGTGTTCAGGTCCATTCTGAGAAGCTGAGTGGGCAGCACCACTGCTGGCACTGCAGAGCACCCCAGTGCAGCAGTGGTGGCTTTCTGTTTGCTTGGGAAACCTGTGGCCACCACTTTGTCTTTCAGATGACTGCTTGCAGAAGCCCCGGCTGATGAAGACGGTCACCTGCTATCTGGAGCGGCTTTTCATCCAGCTGTACCCTTCTCTGGAGGAGTTTGAGGAGGAGCTGTTGGATTTACTGAACAGTGATCGCTTGCTTCAGGTAAGTAGAGTGCTGTGAGGGTGGTGAAACCCTGGCACAGGCTGCCCAGAGAAACTGTGGCTGCCCCATCCCTGGAAGTGTCCAAGGCCAAGTTGGATGGGACTTGGAGCAACCTGCTTTAGTAGAAGATGTCCCATGGGAGAGGGTGGAACAAGACAATGCTTAAGGTCTCTTCCAACCCCAACCATTCTGTGATTCCATGATTCTAGGTACTGCCAGTGTGGTTGGGGCAGGGGAAGGCACAATGTAGAGCAGTAAATCTAGTGTCTGGAATTATGGGTGGGGTGAAAAGTGTCAGGTAAGTGATATTCATGCATTTGTTTCTCTTGGAGACCGCATTTTTTTTTTTTTTTCCCCTGTGGAAACATTTAGCTTGTTTCCCTATTGGATTAGTACATGTGTGCTCTGTATGGGCTTTGTTTTGAACATCCAGACGCTCATAAGCAGAATTTGGGTTTGCTTTGTTGTGGGAAATGCAGAGATGAGATGCAGTGTGTATCAAGTCCATCTCTTTGGAGTGGTAGCCACTTGCAAGGTCCTTTCTTTCCAGATTTGCTCCAACTGTGCCATAAAGACAAAAGATTTTAATATCTATCATCTGCTGGGGGAATAGGTCCTGCTTCTTGAGTTTCTGAAGGGTTGCCTGAATTCTTCTGACTGTAGTCAGCACAGAGAGTGCTGCCCAAGGTGGAAAACATTCCTGTCACAGGCTAATGCTGCACCAGATGGTGAAGAGGTGGTGATTCGGGAGCGGCGGCTGCACGTTGGTGTCCACAATGGCCTGCGCTTTGTCCGGGCACCGCAGGTCGCTGTGCTGGTGCCGGAGGTGGAATTGTCACCAGGTGGCTGCCAGAGGGTGCCCAGCTCTGGAGCCAGGTAAGGGGAAGCCTCTCTGCTGCCAGTGCTGCTTCCCTCCTGCCTGGGATGTCTCCCACAACTGCTTCTCCATCCTGCACAGGGATGCAGGTCAAGCCCTAGTGCTGAGGAGTCGCATCCAGCTGAGTGAAATGGTTCCTCACCCGGCTTTTGGGGTCTGCTTCCAGCTGGAATATGTCTTCTGCAGCATGGGGAGAGCTGGTGGGAAGGTAGGGCTGAGAGTGTGTGTGCCTTGTCTGTGCCTGTGAAAGAGCAGGGATCCATCCTGGAGGAGTGAGCCCTGCTGAGGAACTCATTCCTCTGCCTCTGTTTCACCATCCTGCTTCTCCAAGTCGCAGTAGCTCCTTGTTGCATGGCTGTGTTGTGTAATGCAGGGCCCTGCAATGTGTGCAGGTGCCCTCCACAGCACTGCACAGAACAACCTGCATGGCTTGGTGAATTATTTTAATTACATGTGGTTCCATTTCTCCACTGTTTATATGTAGATGGAGGAATGTAGCCTGCAGCATTCCCATAGTGTTCTGGCAAGCTAATTTGGAAAATTTCAGCTTTTTTAGTAATATCGAAAAGGCTTTTCTTTAGAATTTGCCATTCACGCTGAAGTGAGGTTAACCTGTCCCGCTCCTTTTTCTTTTTTTTTTTTGCCATGAATGCTGAGGTTTTCTGGGTGCTTCAGCCTGATGTTCTCAAGCTGTAAAGGCAGGAGAAATCTCTGATGGTGGTCTCTGCAGTCAATATACTCTCACCTACTTACTGATCGTCTACTCACATCTTAGTTTAACCTTTCTGCAGGTTAAGCCCAGCTCAATGAGCATTGTGTTTCCCCTCCAGAGACCTTGTGCAGTTGGAGCCATCAGCTCCTGGCTGACTGAATTGATGGCCAAGCGTTTGTTAGGAGGCTTTAATTGTCCTGCTGAGATGTTCATTGAAAATGTAGCAAATGCTTCTTGTTAAGCTGTCCAGAGCCAAAGTGGAGGAAATGGGTATTTAAAAAGCAGGAGGCATGTGCCAGATGAGAGGGATTTATGTGGAGAAGGGAGGTACTGAGCTGTGCTGTTGTAAGTTGTTGTTGGGTCTGACTCTGTTGGAAAGCTGAAGCCCAAGGTTCCACGGAGATTTGGGGTTCCAGAGGCAGATCCATTTGGCTCTGTGGGGAGTGCTGTCTGGGGCAGCAGTGGAGTCAGTCCCTGTGGTGCAGCTCTAGGGCAGAGTGGTTAATCCCAAAGCTGCTTGCAAAGCTGATCACCTTGTCCTTGTCCTCAGTGCCATAATTAGCTGTGAGGGGGATGGTGGGTACTGGCAGAGCCCTCTCTTGTTTCTGTGCCTCTTCTTCGGTTTGAGGGAGACAGTGGATGCACTGGGTAAGTGGAAACCTTTTCCCTCTGCCAGGGATGGGGGTCCAGCTGCTTGAGGGAGGGGTTACAGGCATAAGGTCCTGGAAAGTGAAATCTCTCCAGAACGGGAGAGTAGAAGAGTAGAAAGAGAGTAGAGAGAAGAAGAGCAGTGGCTTCTGTGATGCCAGAGCCAGGTGCGAGGAGGCATGGAGAGATACAGAGAGCCTGGCAGCACCCATTGCCAGGTGCTGGCAGTGAGGCGGGGCTGCCTGGTGCTCACTGTGCCCCCCACCCCCAGGCCCTGTCTGGCAGTGCCCGCAGTGAGGCAGCCGACATGCGCTCGGTGCGCTGGGCTGTCTGGAGCCCTGTCCCGGCCACTGGTGACACAGACGTGGTCCTGCCCCTGCGTGGCGGTGCTCGCCGTGGCCCCTGCCAAACCTTGGTCTACCGGACCCCACCGAGCTCCCGGCAGGTAAGGGTGTGCTGGTCGTTGGCAGCTTTGCCTCTGGCATCAGGGTGAAGGAGCTGCTGTCAGAGGCACGAGGGAGGCTGCGTGTAACACACTGTCTGAAAGCATTTTTGTTGCCAATTTCAGGGGAAGCACGTGGAGTCTGGGACTGTCCAATTCCATGTTTCCACTGATTCGGAAGAACATCTTGTAACTGCTGCGGAGATCCTATGTAAAGACAGGGACGAGTTGAAGCAGCCTCCTACGCCATCGCTGAGTGAGTGTTTTCCAGATCGCTGACATTTAAAATATAGAGTGTGGCACTGGTGTCTGCTCGGGAGAGAAAACAAGACTTCAGTGAGTTTCAGCGAGCTAGTTATGAATTACTGGAGTGAAGCAAGTTTTTGTCAAGTTGAATTCAGCTCTTACTTTTTAACTTGCAAAATTCCCATGTGATAGTGTTGCTGAGCCATGTGCAGAATCCTCAGGGGTTGCCAGCACTGCCCCAGCCCCCTCCCATTCCAGGTCACCAGGTGCAGTGGCCACACCAGCAACACATTCTTGCTTCAGGTACTGCTGCTCCTCTCTCTGGACTCAGAGTCTCTCCAGACATGGGGACAAGAGAGATGTCAGTCATAGGCTGGGGAAAAGTAATCTATTTGTGCCACCACTGAGAGAGTGTGACAGCAGCCTGGGTTGGGTTGATGTGTGCAGGATGTGCTGGTGCTTGGCTGGGGAAGAGCAGGCAGCATCTGTGCATGTGCACAGGTGGATGTGTCTGTAGCTTGGGGACCCATATGGTTGGGGATCCAGAACCCCTCTGCTCTACTGGAGATGGATGGAAAAATGCTGTGGGCTTGGGTTTGGGCATGAGGTTGTGTCCATGCACTGTGCTCCTAAAAATCCTCTTTGGCTTGTTTCTCTCTCATTCCCCTTTTGTGATTGGTGGAAGCAAGCTCCCTTTTCTTTGCAATGCTGCTCCTGCTGGGGTCCCAGCTGTGTCTCAGGGTGATGCTTTGGACACCAGGCAGTGTTTCAGCGTGTGTCACATTTCCCCAGCTCTCTGATGAGCCACTTGGTGTCACCCCCCGGGCCAGGCAATGCCCATTATGGTGGGTTGCTGTTCCATGCCGGCTCCAGTGCTGTGGTGCCTTCCACAAGATGGCAGTGGCACCATGGCTATGCTGTGACAAATCCTGTGTTTCTGCTGACGAGGAGCCAGGATTGCTGCTGGTAGAGGCTTTGGAGAGGAAGGCTTTAGGTGGAGATGAAGGGGTCTGGTGATGTTAGGGCATGTGGGGTTCATCTCCTTGCAGCACAGGCTGCATCGTGACTGATACCTTCCTGGTGCTGCTTGAAAAGTTTTTCTTGGTGCCTTTCAGCTGTTGGTGGTTGGGATGTTGATGGAGTTGTGGTGTGGTGAGGGGAGAGAGAAGTAAGTACTGACACTGAGCTTCCAGCCTGGTGGTGGTCTGGAGTGCTCTGGCATGGGGGAGTGTGCTGGGCTGTGGGCTGTGTCCCTGATAAGGGGAGATCCCCATCAAGGTGATTTTCAGGGATAAACTCCCTGGCATTTCCCAGTTCCAGGGGGCTTATGCACCCGGGAGAGCTTGCAAGTGCTGAAGTGGTCCCAGAACTGTGCTCCTCCAGCCTGTGTTCCAAGGTGCTGAGGAGACTATTGGGTTAACTTTTTGTAGAACTCTGTTGAGAAACGTGCTGCTGCCTGGCCCAGGGGAGACCAAGAGCTTCTTCTGTCAGCTCAGATGCTGGTGTTGCTGCTGTATCTGTCCATCCTCTTCTTAACACTAGCCAAAGCCATCCTAACTGGAAGGGAACAGTATTTTAGACATGAGGGAAACGGGGTGGTTTCCTTTACACAGCAGCCAGCATGAAATAGCTGGGATATATGTGGTGGGGGAAAGCAAATTAAGGTCTCAGCATCACGTGGATGCAGAGATGGAACATCTGTGCCCCCGCTCTGCTGAGAAGGACCCGCGGCTCCACGGCACAGAGAGCTCAGCTGTGCCGGCATGAGAGAGCAGCCGAATATAAACACAATAAAGCTCCCACCGTTTCGGGGCACAAATGCTCGAGCAGTTGAAGGGAGTGACAAAAAATAACAGAAAAGCGATGAAAACCTTAAGTATCCTAAAACTTTCACGTCTCATTAAGCATCCCACTTAGGCAGCACTGCGTGGCCGTGGGGCACCACGGTGCTGTCAGGGGATGGGGGAGCTGCTGTTTGTGGCAGAGTTAGCCTGATTCACAGCAAAATAACGGATGGATCTGTGCTGTGTTAACCCCCAAGCAGCAGTGTTATTGGGAAATAAGTCAAGGGAAGTGTTTGGGTGATGGTAAGCTGGTTCACTGTGCTGCCTTCGCCTCTAAAATTGGAAAGGGCTGGTGGGAGGACAGGGCAGGTTTGGTGGAAGTGGGTGCAGCTGCAGTTATGGGGCCTGAGGGTGATGACTCCTCCACAGCATCTCTCCTATCTCTCTCCACAGGAGTGCCAACCCCACGGCAAGTGCCAGTCTCCCCACGGGGACCCAGGGTAAGTGTTACATGCACCAGTGGATGTGGGTGGTGGGCAGCATTCCCTAGGGGGATGACCCACGTGTAGGATGTGCTTCTGGACCCATCCCCTGCCTGTTTTCCTGTCTGCTGCAGCCAAGAGGCACCAAGTGTCCTCAACTCCACCTCCCCCAGGCAGCAAACCAGCTCCTGCCTGTGATGTGCTGGGAGAGGTTCCCTGTGCTCTTTTCACACCCCAGGAGTGAGGGCAGCTCTGGTTTTTGACAGCCCAGATTTGCTGGGTGCTGCTGTCCCCGGTATGTGCTGACAGTGACACACGGTTTGTTCATGCAGAGCTCCCAGGATTTAAGAAGAGCTGTGAATACTAAGAGCCCTCTTTATGCTGTTTTATATCTTGATGCAGGAATCAACGCACGCAAATGTTTTTTATGAAATGAAATGCCTCATAAGGCTGCATTAAGCAGTTTGATCTTCCTGCTGCATGTGCTCATTCCTCCTCTTGCCAGGGAGTGAGCAGCAAGGAAATAGCAGCAGAGGTGCAAACGCTTGCGTGGCCAAGTTGTACCACTTCTGGTGGAATTACAACACTGGGGCACGTGGTGGCTGAGCTGCTTTAGCACAGAGGAGCTGCTGGCTCAGCTTGCCACAAGGGTTGCCTCAGGACTGTGGGTGCTGTGCTCACACTTGCCACTCTCTCACCAGCTGTCGGTGTCCCAGCTCGTGGCCTCACCACGGGACATAGGCCAGACTGTGCAGCAGGATGGGGGCATCACTCACCTGGAGGCCAACCTGGGCTTGCCGGACACAGAGCCCTGTGCCAACGACCAGCTGCAGGCACTGCCCTTCACCCCGCTGCAGCTGCCTATGGCTGCTGTGGGGCTGCAGGCATGCAGGTGATGCTCAGCTGCCCCTCCCTAGGCTCCTATGGCCCCATCACCTGCCCTGCCTCGTGGCCTCTTCTGTGGAACTCACCCCTATTTCTCTGTCAGTTCCCATGTGTCCCTCTCTCGTGCTGCTCTGGCACGCCTGCACGCTGCTGGCTTTCCAGACATCCTGGACCGCAACCAGGAGCCAGTGGAAATCTCAGAGCCAGTGGAGCTGGGCAGTTTCAACCTGCGGCTGGAGGAAGCTGACCCTCTACAAGGCAATGAAATAGTCCTGCAGTTCCTGGCTTTTGGCAGGTGAGATGGCAAGTCATGGTCTTGTGTGGGCAGATCTCAAAGGCCTCCTGGACAGTCCTTTCCAAATTCTGCCAAGCTTCTTCCCTGCTTGGGCAGGAGATGTCCTTGCAGAGGTGCCTCTTCTTTTAGCACCTGCTTTTGTCTTTCCTGGGCACTTTTAAGTCATAATCCAGTTATTTAAAATTGGATCCATGAGCCACAACGTGATGTCAGAGTTCATTAATGCAGGGTTTCTCCAGAAATGCAAATGGAGTTGGGAAAGTTGGCACCTAAGGGGTGGCTTTGGCTAGGTAAGGCCCTGCTTCTGTTTTTTCCATGGCTGGCAGTGTGCTGTGGGAAGGTAACACGCTGCCTTTGCTGGGCGCCTCCATCGCAGCATATGGCAGGAGACAGCTGGAATTATGAAGCTTTTTGGAAAGTTAAGGCAAACCGTATGGCCGCTGTCTTCAGAAAAGTCCAAATACTTGTGGTGCTGCCAATCTTGTCGTTCTTCTGCCTCTTGGCATGTGCCAAATGCACGAAGAGCTTGTGACAGAGTGGCACAAGTAACCCAAACCCCTCTCTCTCCTCAAGGGATGCCCAAGGCAGTGTGGAGGGGCTGTGGCCGAGGACTGTCTTCCTCACCTTCCAGTTCTACCGTTTCCCACCAGTCACCACACCCCGGCTGCAGCTGGTCAGCACAGATGGGGGCCTGGCAGCTGGTCTGGGTGGGCCGGCACAGCTCCTTGTCCGTGTCAATGAGGATGGCACCCTAAACAGTAAGCTCTGGTTTTAGCATCTATGTGTGGCTGCTGCTCTTCTGTTGGGTGGATGAGGGCTTGCTTGCCTCTGGCCCAAGGGATAGGCTGGTGTCTGTTAATAGCAAAGCTGGTTTCCAGATCATGAAAAACATTCAAAACATCCAGTGTTTGAAGTAGAACACCCAGTGTCAGTTGCATGAGGTGCACATTGAGGCTTCCCACCAAGCCAAGTGCCATGTCAGTGACAGTGTGGTGTCTTGCAGGGCCACCAGGCTTGCAGCTGAAGTACATGGTGGATCCAGCTTTCCTGAGGCCCGGGGAGCAGCGCTGGTTCCTGCGCTACCTGGCAGAGCACAGCCTCCAGATTGACGTCTGGGATGGAGACTCCCTGCTCCATGTTGGGTCTGCTGCCATTAAACTGGAGGTATTGTTTAGACTGAAGGTCTTTTCCTGTGGCTGGTAATGCTGAAGGGCCCCCTGCCTGTGTGGAGTGCTAGGGAAGAGCCCAGCTCTCCCTTTAATCCTGTGTTCAGATGCTGTTGTATTGTCCTTGTGTCTTCAGTAATGGAGATGCTGTGAGCCCCTCTCTGTAACCGAGTCTGATGTCATCTTGACAAGTCCCTAATCACAGGATTTGTTATCTTTTCCTCCAAAGTGATGACAAAGCATTAACTTTCTTCGCCCTTCCCTGGAACTCTGGCAGTATTCTAGCATTAAGCCCTGCAGAGCTATCCAGGACATCCAGTGCCATTCATACCCAGACCCCTTGGCCCCAGACTCCCCAGTAACACGTTGTGCTTTGTCTGTCCTTGCCTTGTCCCCAGCCCCTGCTGCGCCAGGGTCAGACGGCCGTCAGGACCTACCACGAGCTGGAGGTGGCCACCACTGAGTACGAGCCAGACGGGACAGTGATGGGCAGAGAGGCTTTGAGGCACGGTGCCCTGCGGCCCCTCGGTGTCCGTGTGGCTGTGAGGGGCCGCCTCCACCTCTGTCTGGCCAATGTTGGTGAGAACCCACTGCTCATGCAGCCCAAAGCCCCGGCAGCATATGCAGGGCTGTACCTGAGTGAGACCCAGGCTGGTGGGGATGTCGTCCTTCCCAGAACCTGCTGGCTGCTTTTATTTTATGTATTTAATTCTGTGTCCTATAAATGTGCAGTGACTCCAGGTTTTAAAATCTTATCTTCAGAGGAGAGATTAGCTCCATATAAGATATCTTAAATCGTCATTTCCATACTTTGCCTGCAAAGGGCCGATAAGCTCCTGGGAAGGAGAATCTGAGATCCACAACCCAGGGAGTGGTTTAACTCACATGGTGACAAAGAAGAGGGAGGGAGGGAAGAGCTAGAGCCTTTGTGCCAGGACAGCAGCTGCCCTTTGATTGGTGTTTTTCCCATCCTCTTTTTTTAATTCCAAAATACTGTTAGAAACAGGATGGCAAAGCTTGGTAGCCTTTCCTGAAGGATGGGGACAGATGTGTAGGCTGGGCGAATACCTGGTGGGTTTACAGCCTTGTGTGGCTCCACTTGGCACAGCCTTTGTGGGAGTGGGGAGACTCAGCCGCATGTGGCCATGCTGGGGGAGGCAGAACACAGAAATGAAAGCAGGAGCTGGTGAGGGGCTCAGGATGGTGTGTGCTGTCATTGCTGCTCCATTCCTGAGCAGGTGACTGTGTGACAGAACAGGCTCTGGGGAGCGTGTGGATCTCTTAGGGCATCACTCTTTTCCAGGTATTCCCTCCTGAATGTGTAAATTGTCTGAACAGAGCTGCAGGGAGGTAAAAATTGGCAGTATATTTTATAACAATGAAAATGGATGGTTTCCACTCACTCCTGTCTCCACTTGTGGCAGGCCACCCATGCGAGGAGACCCCAGGGCAGCTGCCATCCCACTCCCGCATTGTCACTGCACCAGACAGCACTGTCATCACCCCAGGTGGTAACTGGTGCTCCCCGAATACTCCTGGTGGTGAGTCCTGCTGTGGCCTGGCCTGTCCCCCTATGAGTTGAGGTGGGCAGGGTCTCTGCTGCTGCAGTGCCAGCTGTGGGTCAGCTCCCCCCTCTGTTGCTCTCCTTTCCAGCCCTGCAGTTTTGCGGAGCTCTTGGGGGCTGCAGTATCTGGGGGGTCCTTCCTTGGTGCCATGGTGGTCTCTCCCCACAGGCAGGCGGACGGCGTGGGCACGGAGGCTGGTGGATGTGGACAACGAGCTGGAGGCAGCACTGCGCAGTCGCCGGCCAGAAGTGAGCCTGGCCCCTCTGGTCACTCTCAGTGAGGCCGTGTCCACCCGCTGGCTGCAGCACATGGCAGTGGTGTGGCTGCACAAGGGTGCTGGCGGCAGGAGGGTGTGGGGCCAGACCCCTGCAGCGTCTCTAGGCTTATGTTCCCTTCTCTCCCGGCAGGGCTGGCCAAAGCAGCGTGCCTGGGACCTGCAGGTCATTGATTCCTACCGGGATCACATCAAGGGAGAGACCATCTACCAGATGCTCAGCCAGGCCATCACAGCCACCCACACTGTCCACGCTGTGTTGGGGACAGCTGAGTTCTTCGAGTTTGCCCTGAAGAACCCATACAGCATCCAGCACACCGTGACCATCGAGGTTGACCACCCTGAGCTCAGGTGGGGGCTCCCCTGTGTGCATGGGGAGATGCCAGGGTGGTACCAGCTCCCTCCCAGTCCTCACCAGCACCTCTGCTGCTCACTGCTCCAGTGTCATAGTGGACCCGAGGGAGTGGCGTCACTTCAAGGAGCTGACCAAGAGTGTTACACCGGTGGAAGAGGATATGTTCCATCTCCGTGATGACCTCAAGCCTCAGGTCTACCTGCGTCCCAGTGAGACTGTCCACATCCCCTTCAAATACCAGACCTTCTCTGCAGACCCTGCCGTGGTTGCAGCACAGGTGGGCACAGGCCCCTGTTTTGAGCTGTTCTCAGTACAAAATGTTCCCCTTGGCTGTGGTTGTCAATGCAGAGCAGGCTGGAACAGCCATGGAGAGCAGCAGCAGCCGCAGTGATGCTGCACCCTGAGGGAATTCACTTTCACCCTGCAGGGGCCGGCTGGGCTGGGCATCGGTGCCCGTGAGAACACTCACTCCCTTGGGAAGAGTGGGGCCAAGCAGACAAAGCTCATCCAGGTTAGGGAGCCAGGAGAAACACTGCTTGAGGGGCTGCTTGGGAGGAGCAGAATCACTGGAAAACCCCATCCCTCTCCCGCTGACCCCTGGGGCAGGTCTCCTTCCAGGTGAGCGGGGGGAAGCCCATTGCACTCCTGCGGTTGAAGGTGGAGCCACAGCCCCATGTGGTGGACCAGACCTTCCGCTTTTACCACCCAGAGCTCACCTTCCTGAAGAAAACCATTCGGCTGCCTCCCTGGCACACCCTTCCTGGTCAGTCCATGGCATGCCCGGCGGGGCTTGGGCTCTTCCCTGTTAGTCATCGTCTATAGTTCATGAAGCCTTTCTGGAGGCACAGCAACATCCAGGGAACACATTGTTGCTTCCTTACCCCTTCATGGCCCTGGGCTCCTTGCTTGCTCTCTGTCCATCTTTCTCTGTTAACTTCAACTTGAATTCCCTACACCTGTGTGATTTGCTGGTAGTCTAGCATGAAGGGTTTTGTGTGCAGCTGTATGGGACACAGGAGAGAGGCACAGGTAAAGGAAAAGGTGAAGGTGGTTTCCTATGTCTCTTGTCCACAGGCACACCAGTGGGCATGCCAGGCGGGCAGCCCGAGATGTTTGTTCGCTGCAGTGACCCTGACATCATTTGTGAAACCAAATCCTTGGTATGTTACACTTTTGCATTGCTGTTACTCCCATCCTTCTCCTGCAGGTTGTTTGGGTTGGCAGAGAGCTGCCAATGTGGGTGCAACCACAGAGCATCCCCGTGTACCAGCCCATAGCAGTGACACAGTGGCAACGATGAAGCTGGAATTGCTTTTTATTCCCAATTAAAGGAGCTGCATTATTTTGGCGGGGGAGGCTGAACGTTGCCCCTTATCGCATCATGCAGCAGCCTGTGCTTGCTTGTTCTTTTGAGCAAGTACCAGATGATTCAGACGCTGGGGAAAAGCAGCCTTTTGTTGGGCTGGGATAGACCTTCCTGCTGCTCGGGGTATCTGCAGGCATTGGCAGTTCATGGTGGAATGGTGTGTGCTTGGGGTGCACAGCAAAGCCTGTCCCTGCTGAAGGATGCTGGGGTGGTGGGGCAGCTCCATGCCCAGCCCTGCACCATTCCACTGTCTCCCCAAGCGGGAGGCTCTCCTGGGCTGGTTCCACAGCAGGAAGGGGTGGAAGGGAAAAATAAGCTTGGGCATGTCCATGTGAATGGCAACGAGGGATAGTTGCTAATTGCTGTTGTGGAAATGCGTTAGTATGGTAATTGGATTAGGGCTTGTTAGAAAACTTGCAGAAAATTTGCCAAAATTTGATTACAGATACAGACCTGGAATGTGATAGTGATTTGTATCCTCTTTTGTAATTAAAAATACTTGGAGAGCTCAGCCAAGCTGTATAATAACTTAATAACGTTGTTTAACGAGGCACCGAAACATCTGCTTTCGTAAGGGAGATGGTGGTAGCTTCCCCATTAATGGGAAGACACCCCTGGGGTCCTCATTAGCTGGTCAACTGCTGGGACAATGCTCTGTTGTCTTTGCAGGGGCCTGGTGAGCCACAGGACATCTTCCTCAAAGTAGCTGGAGGACCAAGCCCGCAGATCAAAAAGTTCTTTGTTGCTATTTATACGTAAGTAGCAGGACCCCAAAAGGATGGGGAACGTTGACTGCCATGGTTTGTGGCGAGCCTTGTCTGCCTGTCCTTGCACAGGGACACCTGGCTGGCAGCACCTGTCCAGATCTGGCAGTTCTACCTGCACTCGCTGCAGCGCCTGGACGTCGCCTGCACGGCCGGGCAGCTCACCCGCCTCTCCCTGCTGCTGCGTGGCACCGCGGCCCCACGGAGGGTGCGGGCCTTCACCTCCCACCCCCAGGAGCTGGAGGTAACCTCCTGTGGTGGGCTGGGGGCTGGCTGGACTGGGTCAGCCCAGTGAAACCCCCTCTGGAAAGCAAAAGGCAACCCACACGGAACTGTGAACAACCGAGAGCCGTAAAGCGTTTGTGATAATTATCTTTTGATTAGAGCTGTCATGTGTAGGATCATTGGCGTGAAACCCCGGAGGGCAAATTATCTGTGTTAATGAGACTGTCTGAAGACTCTCAATTTCTTTAGAATTCCTTCGTCCGTAATTGGAAATGTGAATAATAAAAGGCAGAAAAACTCCATTGCTGTCCTGTAAAGGAAAGGCAAAGGCTCCCCAGGCAAAGCCTGTGTGGTGGAACCCATGGACTGAGGAGGCCCTGAGTGTTCCTGAGTGCCTCTTCTCCTTCCTGACATGAGTTAGTCACAGAGTATTCCTGGGGCTGGGAGGTATGAGATTCAATAGTGGTGGAATAGAGGTATAGGTTTTTAGGAGCAATTGGGTCTAATTGATGCTCCAAGCTGGGCTTCTCAGGGCTGTGATCAGCTGTTGTGGGTGGCTGTACCTCCAGGTGTTTTCCACAGGTGGATCCGAACGGTGCCTTCCTCCTCCCTGCCAATGGCATTCAGGACCTGTACATCGGCGTGAGGCCACGGCGGGCTGGGAGCAAATTCATCTACCTCAACCTGGTGGATGCGGAGTCCCACCAGCTGGTGTCCTCCTGGCTGCTCTGCTTGTCCTGCAGGCAGCCTCTCATCTCCAAGGTACGGCAGCTCTCGCCACTGTGAAATGTGGTGATGGCACTGGATCAGTGGTCGCAGTTCAGCCAATAACCTAGGGCTGTCTCTTGCTTCTTCTTCTCTTTCCATCTGTGGTTTTTTTTGGCGCTTGCCATCGTAAACACACATTTAGCCCTTGGGGTACTTGAATAATCTCACTGAAGCCCCTGGTAAAATGTCTTTTAGGCTGCTTTGGAGGCAGCCCCACGCTGAGGAGCGGCAGCTCGGAAGTATTCCCAGTTGTGAAATTAGAGCTGCAGCATGCTGCTTTCGATTAGCGCTGTGCTGGCAGAGGCCTTGCCTCAAAGACAGAAAATTAGATTTCCTGGCTAATGTGTTCTTTCTAAAAATGTTTTCCTGAACCCCTTGATACTGGGAAAGGTTCAGATTGGCATTTACACTGATGCCCCATTGTTCTGCCACATGCTGCTCGTGCTGTGGGGTGTTAAGACAATCAGAGTAGTTGGGGCTGGAAGGGGCTGTTCAGGGTCATCAAGTCCATCTAGTTATCTGAGCACCACAGCTTTTCCTGGGAATGAGAAAGAGCTGGCTAGTCTCTGCTGCTCTCCCAGCCCTTTGTCCTTTGCACTTGTAATTAATTGTTGCTCCTTTTGATCAAAGCTGGGCTCTTTCTGCTGTCTGGCAGAGTAGATGTGAGGTGTGGGAGGGGAGGGCAGTGTGTGCAAGGCAATTCTCTATGGTGGATTTGGGGGAGTACCCGTTGTTGCTGCTGCCCACCCTCTTATCTCTGCCACCTTGCCACTGCCCCTGCTTGCCCCACAGGCCTTTGAGATCTCTCTGCCTGCGGGAGGTGGGAAAGGCTGCAACAAACGCATCACCTACACCAACCCCTACCCCTCGCCCCGGCTCTACTTCCTCTGCACCAACCGCCCCGACCTGCTGCAGTTCAAGGAGGATTCCTTCGAGGTACGTCCTGCTTCCAGCACTCCCCCCTTGTCTGGCCAGACCAAGTGATGCTGGGGGGGGTGCCAGCCATGAGGGCCACCCTGGCTGGGGGAAGGTGGGCACATGAAGGGGCCTGGCCGGGTGCTGCTGCCTCCCACAGCCCTCTCTCCCACAGGTGGCTGGAGGGGAGGTGTACACAATTGGCCTGCGCTTCGCCCCGAGCCAGACTGTGGGGGAGGAGGAGATCCTGATTCACATCAATGACCACGAGGATAAGAACGAGGAGACCTTCTGCGTGAAGGTCCTGTACCAGTGAGGCTGCCTGCCCGTCGCTGCAAAGCTGCAGGTTCCTGTGCCAGCCCAGCAGCTTCATCAGCTCCGCCTTGGGGGTGCCTGTGTCTGTCTGAGGGTGGTCATGACCCCTGTCCCCTGGCTGTCACCTTGCCAGGCTGGTGTCTCTGTCACTGGGATTCCCAGGCATTGCCGTGAGTGCTGGTGGTGCCATGTGGCTCCCTCCACAGAAATTGAGATGAGTGGATGTGTTTGTTACGGCACTTTGGGAGCGCAGAATCTGTATTTTTGTTAAGCGTGATGATATTTTAGGCACTTTGAATCTTTTTTTAACTTGAAAAATTTGCAGATTTGATTCTGCGGAATATTTTTAAAGTATTTTATATGCAACGGTGAGTTTTGTACACACTTAGGCAGTTCTATGGGATTTTTGATACTTTCTACTCATCCTTGATCCATTAAAATTGCTGTGCACAACTGTCAGAGTGTGGCAGCATTTTCTTCCTGAGGAGGTGGAAATCCTCAGCATCCTTGTCTTGTGGAGATGAGTCCTGGAGGTCTCCTGCATCACCCCCATCCCCTGGAGCGTCCTGGGGGTCAGGGCAGGGACTGCAAGTGGGACTGGGAGGGTAGGGCAGCCCACCAGCTCTGGAAATGCTGCTTCACTCTCCCGAGGCCTGAGGCTGGTGAATTAGTGGCCCCGATAAAGTCGGGTGCCGAGTTCCTCTGCCTCCCTCGCACTGATGGGAAATGACAGCTCATATTTTAGAAATGATTATACTGTCTGCAGCACAGAGAGGCCCCGAAGTTGGGTTATTAAAGTAGATTAGCTGAATAATTTTTATTACATTTTCACACAACGATATTTCTTGAGGCTCATGAATGAGCTGGTGCTGTACCTGCAGCACAGGCAGCTCGAGTGGTGAATGATGTGCCAGCATTCAGGGGATGCCAGCACAGGGAGCTGAGCTGGTGCTTGAATGATGCTGTCTGCTCCTCTGCAGTGCATGTCTGTGGCCCAAAATCTACAGAACTGTCATTAAGAAAAGTTGGTAGAAGTTTCCCCGTAGGAAATGCAAATGCCTTGTGTCCCAGCTGCTTGGCATTATGGCCATGGCTGTTGGAATTGCTGTGTAGGGGCAGCTTCCTGGGTTCCTACTTGTTAATGAAGTCATCCCTGCTAATGAGAGTGAACTCGAGCACCCGTGCCTGGCATGCAGCTTGGTGGTTGTGCTCTTCTCGTTTGCATTCATGTCAGGAAGGAAACTGGATTCCAGTAATGACAGAATTAATTTGTCCTAAAAATCTTGGTTTGTGTCTTATCACTGAGGTGTGCAGGGAGGGGAAGGGTTGAAAAGCCCTTTCCATGGGTTCAGTAATTCTTGGGGGTGTTGTCCCTCTTGGAGCATTTGCAGATGAGACCTTTTGGGGACTGGAGTGTCACTGCATTGCTGAAATTGCAACAGAGGAATTAAGGAGGGCACGATACTTGGCCCCAGCACCCGGCCTAGGGAAAGGCAACTGAAAAAAGGGCAACTAGTAATGAGGAAATAAGGTAATAAAAAGAAAAACCAACCTAGGAGTTGGGGGCAAAACTCCTGGAGCAGTTGAAGGCTCTTGGGAAACTGGCTGTCAGGATGCCCAATCCTCAGTTGGGTTTGCCGCCAGCCCAAACTTTTAAACCCAGCTTGTTTTCCCCATTATGAGGAGGAAATTGTGACTGCCTGAGAACCCTCTAATTAAACAAAGCTTCACCATAATATTTGCTGGGAGCTTGCCAGCCCTGTAATATGACATTACCGGGCATCTTTATTAGCTGAAATGAGTATTTAGCGCCTCTGCCAAACCAAAAGCTGATTGAGGCACATGGAAGCAGCACGGCAGCATCCAGCAAAGGCTCCTGCGACCTGCTGGCAAGGCAGCATCATTCTGGGGGGCTTTCTACTGACACAAACTCTTTCTTGGTTATTTCCATGTCACCCAAATCCAGCCCAGCAGCCCCAGCATGGGAGTTTGGGAGGTTTATTCCCTGTTTCTCCCAGTTGTCTCTCTGAAAGCGCGTCACTGACTTGATAAAACCTGATTTAATGGTTACAAAACCCAGAGATAAAGCTGCTCTTAATGGATTTCTTTAAGATCAAGGCTGTCAAATAGGAGGCTCAGAATCCTTTCTGTGGTGAGAGCGACTATATTAAGTGCACTCAATCACACCCAGGCGAAGGTTCTGTAAGTGAGACGCTGGCTGGAGGAAATGCATTTTATTAGTGTCTCTGGCAAAAGGAGTCTGGCAGGAGGGATGAGGAGCCTCTGAGCTGCAGTGGTTGTGCTCCAGTTCAGCTGCAATGGAGGGGATGCAAAGGACTTTGCAAAGCACATTCCCTCCCTGCTTGGTCCAGCAGGGAGGAGGGTGATGAGTGCCATGGTGACATCACAGGAGCTGGCCTGGGGGAGAAGAACCCCCAGCGAAGGATGCTCACCTGGGGATGGTGCTCACAAAACACACCTCAAAATCCACATGGATTGATGGAGATGTGGGGCATCCAAGGGGGTGATGCTCAAAGGCTTTTGGGGGTGTCAGATGGGAATCACCTGAACCAAAGGGAGTGGTGGAAGGAGAGGGGCCTTGGCAGCTCTGGGCAGACCAAAGCTTAAAACACAGATTAGTTTTTGATGACAATTCACAGTTCCATAATGAGAAATTTGCAGCACTTCTAAACTGCTGGTTGCTTTTAAATAATTTCCTGTCTTTCTGTCTCAGGCTTGACATTTGATGATGAATTGAGTCTGTGTTCGTTTACCCACTGATTTACTGTACGGAGGTGGGAAACCGCAGCCACCTTAGTGAAGGTCAACATGAAGCATTTGCCTGTAATTTCCAAATACTATTAAGGTTTTTAAATAAACCGTGTGGGTGCTGTAGGCAATGAAGGCCCCTCTTGCAAGGCTGATGCTGCAGTGGTTTCTTCTGGGTGGTGAGAACAGATTTGTGGGAGCAAGAGCAGATCACTTGGCTCTTGAGAGTACATCAGACTGCTCCCCAAATTTATGCTTAGAGAACACTTGATTTTAGGGGCACGGTGATCTGGGCATTGACAGCTGCTCCTCACCTCCCAGCTCAGATTAGCATCGGGTTCTCATGCTGCTTTCCCATGGCCCCTGAACCCTGCACTCATTCCTGGGAAGTTGGAGGGAGCTGCCCCACCGCTTCCCCTGAGATGCTGGCTTTATCTCCTGCTGCAGGACCCGGTTGTTTGTGGCTGTGAATCTGTTTGGCGTGGCTGAGCAGGAGATCTGCTTCGCAAATGTCACGCAGATCTTATCTCGGGGGAAACATCCTTCAGTAATTACAGTAAATGAAAAGTCCTGGAAGCAAAGCCCTAGAGGCTGCAGCCTTCTGTTTATCTCCAAAGTCTGGAGTATTCGTGGAGGGAGCAGGGAGTAGGAGGTGCTGGTGGCTGCAGTCCCCGTGGTGTGGGGATGGTGTCAGGGTTTGCCTTCACCCAGGGTGCAGGCAGCAGGATGCTCTGAACTCTGCCTGCATCAATCTGCCCCCCTTGCTGCAAATTAATAAGCAAATTCAGAACAAAAAAAAAAGAAAAACGAAGTCTCTCTGTGGATAATTTGTGCACAGAAAAGGGGCCAAATGAATTAAATAAATCATTTGCTGCTACACTGATCCCATTTGATTCCCTGCCTTTCACAGCAACTTTTCAAGCGTAATGGTATCAGATACCCTTTTGGCACCCATTTTCAGAGCCACAGCCCCCCGCCCCCTGCTGCTCCTTAATGCAGCTCATCTCCTGCCTATGGCTCCCAGGGCCTCTGCCAAATCAGCACTTCAAATTAAAGTCTTTCCCACCTCTCCCTGGTTTCCATGGAGATCCGAGTGGATGCTCCCTTCCTTCTTCCTCTTGAGCCGATGGAGAGGCCCCTCCCGGGGATGGCCCTTGCAACGCCTGGGAGTCTCCGAGCATCCAGCAGTTCTGCAGCTGGCTTTGCCATGTGCAGCTGCTGGCAGACCTGGTGGCTTCAGTCCTGGTGTGCTGGTGACCCTGTCCCAGTGCCCCATTCCACAGTGAAGCATCCCAGGCATGCCAGGAACAGGTTCCCAGTATTAATTTTCCTCTTGTGTTGGAGCTAATTGCACCTGACTCCTCAGGGAGCTTAGCCAGCAGAAACTCTTCTCTGGTGGGAACCAACTTCACAGCTGGACAAGGACCAGGCTGGTTGTAGCACCTTTAGACTATGAGTAGACTTCTATAGTCTGCACACAGATTTCCCAAGGACTGCTGGGAGCTGTTTGGCCAAGGCTGCTCCAGAAGTGGGAATGGTGGTGGGAATACCCTTACACGTGTAAATGAATGAGCAAATAGCTGTGAGATCTAAGGAATGACAGTAATTATTGGAACAAAATTATTATTAATGTACTAATTTACCTGGGAGCCAGGCTGTATGTAATTACAGTCTGGGATCATGATAAGGTTAATGCATTTACCTTCCTAGGTATTTATAGACACTTGGAATTGTTCTCTCAGTGAGAACCACATGTGCATGTTTCTGGCCATGTGGGTCTAGCAGCTGAAGGGGGCATGGGGAGGTTTGTTGATCTTTGCTAATATTGCTCACAGGAGGGTTTGGGACAGCAGCAACCCCGGCTCTGTGGCCCTGGGGAATCTCAGGGCATGTTCACCAGAGGGAATGCATCCTGATGCTTCCCAGAGCCTCTTGGATCATGGCCAAATGAATTTTCTGTGGTATGCATATCAGAGGAAAACTGTCCTGGGAGCCACCAGCATCTGGCATTTGGCTGCCTGGAAATCCTCCCAACCTTTGGGCTCAGCAGTGCTGCAGCAGCCGCCCATGCTGGCAGAGGGACCAGCAAACCCAACCTGTTCATGCTTAACAAATCAGAACTTCGCAAACACCTCGGAAACTTTCCAAAACTGGCAAAAAGCCTCTACCTGTAAGGATGCTGTTCCCCACGCCAGGTCCACGTGTGTCCTTTGTCAGTTGCTGCTCAAGCTGCTGTGGACACAGGTGCCCCAGAAATGCCAGGCTGCAGCAGGGCTGCTCACCCGCATGGCAGTGGGTGGGAGAGCCCAGGGGCTGCTGCCACAGTGCTGAGCATCGCTTTGGCATGGGTGTGAATAAGGAACAAGCAGGGAAGAATCGGACAGATCTCGGAGTCTCCCTCCTCAGGGGTGTTCTGGCTTCTCCCCAGTGCCTCAGGAGCTCCCTGCCCTGCTCCAGCCCACCTTTATTAATGTCACGCTGGGAAATGTCAGCTGGGTTTGCTGAGCATCCCGTGGCTCTAAGCCCTCCCGGCTGCACCCAGCTGCACGTGGGGCTGCTCGCTCACGGGCCAGTTGAGCATGGCCACCGAGTGTCACCGGGGATATTTCTCCTGGTGTCACATGGGGAGGACAGCAGCAAGATGTGGAAGGTCAGTGCAGCCCTAAAAATATGTCTCTGCCTGC